ATTTTACAGATGAGGAACTGAGGCCAATGGGGTTAAGTGACTTACCCAGGGTCACACAGCTAGGAAGTGTCTGAGGCTGGATTTGAACTCAGGCTCAGTAGTTAGTATATGCTTAATGCATACTTATGGACTGATTGATTAAGGCATGTAACAGTCTTAATGTGCTTTCTTGAGATGAGGTAAGAGAGAGGACAGAAACAACTTCAAGTTGTGGTCCTAGTAGTTTCTACCTCTGTAACCTTGGGAGAGTTTCTTAACCTTTCATCATCTATAAAGTGAAGGGGTTCGATTAGATTAGAAGCCACAATGGGCTGGTAACATTTCCAATTGCTGCCAAATCAGATTAAAAAGTAACTCAGAAATATTTAACAAAACAAATACAAACACAATAGAACATAAATTATGTTAATATATGATTTTCTAAGTCAATTTTCATCCTTACGTACAGTGTGGCAGTCGCTGTTTCTATTTGAGTCTGACATTACTGGACCAGACGGCCCCTTAAATTCTCTCCCAGCTTTGAATTTATAATTCTGCACACACATACGCAGGTTCTACCTCACAGGCTCCTCTTTAATTCAGACCTGTCTGCACACACCTGCTGGACTGGCACCCAGGGGTGACATGCAAGCATCTTTAAAAGCAGGTGCCCAGTGGCAGAACACCAATCAAACCACCACTACCACCATCTTCTTGCAAACTCCTTTCTGGTGGTGGAGAGAATATTAATTCTAGAGTTTGAGGCCCTGGGTTCAATTTTTGCCCCGATGTTTAGTATCTGTGTGACTCTGGACCTCAGTTTCCTCATCTATAAAATGGCCTCTGAGGTCCCTTCCAGCCCTATAATCCTTGATAAACTTTGGTTTCCTGCTGAGTTACAAAATTCAACCCATTCACTTGGTTACTGATTCCAGATTCCAGATAAAAAAAGAACCAAGCTATCACCTTGAGATGATCCCAAGCTAGGAGGTGACATTGTTCTCAAGCAAGTCTTTGTTTAGGCCACAGTGTGTCCCAGCGTACGTGGTGGAAGACTCAGCAAGAGCTACCTGCATAGTCAGGTGTGGGGTGGAGATTCCAGGTGTGTCAGAGGCTGTTTAGGTAGACGATTCAAAGAGAGATGCCTTCCGAATGGCAGAAGGGCTTGCTGCCTGGAATGCCCACTCCGATTTCCCTTTGCTCAGCCTAGTCCTACTGATCCGTCAGGATGCATTCCAACTCATTTAATTAAATATTAAAAAAAGAATAAGCATCTACTGTGTTTAGAGCCATAACTTGGAATTCCAACATCTGGGGCAAATTTTATTGGAAGGATTGGGGGCAGAGCAAGGGAGATAGAGACTTCCATTAGATTGTAAGCTTGTTTCCTCAGTGTTTAGCATGGTGCCTAGCACACAGTAGTGTGTAATAAATATTTACTGATTAATTGGTTGGACAGCACAAGACTGTGTGAGGTCATCATTGCTACTTGTTCTACCACTGATGTTGGTCATTACCTATGACACGAGTCCCCCAGTCCAGGTGGTTTGGGAGCTATCTGCCTCAGTGGGGTATAATGACACTGACTTGGTGGGGAGAGGGGGAATGGACTGGGAGAGGAAGATGACAGCAACAGGTCTCTTGGGGTGGAGGGTTTGGGGCTTGGAAGGGTGGATGTGCTTCTTTCAGAGTACCAACATCCAACCAAGATGGGTTTCTTCCCTGGGGTGATCCTTAATAGGCTCCTTCGGACTAGCAGTCCGCCCCTCGCCCCAAGGTGAAGAAGGATGTGCCCTTGGATGTCAGCACCCCACAACAAGAAAACATCCTTCCCTATACTAGTGACCCTTCGTCTCACTAGTTACAGCTTTGTGCGTGTCTGGAACAGTTTGTTAGGTGCTGGGGGAGACAAAAATTTAACATGATCCCTGATCCTGGTTCACAGTCCAGTAGGGACATCTCCAGTCCAAGGATGACGCAAACACGCGATTAGAAAACGCAATCTTCCATGACTTCATGTTGAGGAAGCACTGTGTGAGGGCTGAGCAAAGAAGCCTTCTCCAGCCTCACTGACCTCAGGCTTCCCTGTACTCCTGTGGCTTGCATTCTCTATGCCACACAATCTGTTTTGCACTGTTCCATTCACTTTAAATGTCTCCCCAACAAGATCTTAAGCAATGGGCGTGTGGTAGGTGCATGGATAAATACTGGCCATATTGATTTCTCTTCCCCAAACCTGTTGTCCTATGGGGACTGGGGAGCCTTCCACATTTTGCAAGCAATCTTCTCACTATTTACAGCTGATAAAGGAAATTAGCTGCACCAGGCAACTTCCTCATGAGTGAGGCAGTGACCCTGCTATCTCTGGTCTCTGATTTACAGCAAACTCATTTCCTCTAATTCTTTTCCATCACATTTTTCCATTCTTGTTGCCTGGCTATGGAGTGATGAAACATTTCTTTTTATGGTCCCTGTCACTCAAGCAGCCAGGTCATTAAGCCTGGCCTTCAGTAGAAAGGAAGAGTGCTGGATTAGTACTAAATATAGATATTCAGACACTGATTTCCCCTAATCTGCTTTTTTATAGAGCTAGCCTAATTTCTCTTAAAAAAAAAGAAAAAGACTTCAGAAGCACGTGGCATGTCTGCCCTGCTGGTCTGTTAAACAGATAGCACAGTGTATTAGAAGGGAAACGGGACTTGACTCCAGAAGACCTGGGTTCATGTCCTAGTTCTGCCACTTAAGAGTTGTGGCCAAGTCATGTAACCTCACGGGACCACTGTGTCCTCATCTATAAAATAAGGTGATTCATTGGATTAGATTATCTCTAAGATTTTAATTCCAGCTCTAATAGTCTATGGTTCTGGGGACTTTTTCCTGTTCTGAACTTTGCCTTTATAGAACCCAGTGAAAATACTAATTTAATCACTTACCCCAAACTGCCTAGAAACAGGGGCTTGGAAAGACCACGTAGTAGCAGACTTTGTTGCAACTGTGGGCAGTTTTGTGAAAATTATTATTTTTTAAAATTTTATTGTTACCTTTTGTTTTTATACCACAATTATTTTTCCTTAATCTGTCTCCTCCCTGCCCACCCCCAACCAATAACACTAACATTTCAGCAGAGCCAACAAAGTGTCTCATTTCATGGCATTATCACATCCCTCACCTAGGTCCCCTTACCCCTTTACTTAAGAGGAAGGAGGTGTGTTTCATGCGCAATTTTCCAGTACTGAGACTGTTTTCATAAATTCATCATCGTTTTTGCAATGCTATTTCTGTTATTATTACAAGCTCTGTGAATTCTTCTCCACTAACCAGAGAAGCTGAAGCTGAGTGACTCAGGAGGAGAATCTTTGCAAAGGCTATCCCTCCCCTTGGCAGGCACTGAAGAGACTGGAAGGACTGTGGACAAAGTAAGAGAGACAGAGACTTTCATTAGATTGTAAGCTCCCTAGGAGCAGGGATTGCCTTCTGTCTCTTTTTGTGTTCCCAGCGCTTAGCACAGTGCCTGACGCTGTGAACCCGTGACTTTGCTTAACCCAGATGAAACCTTGGCTTTTGTGTGCATCAACCTGCTGGTCTCCAGAGCAAATTTTTGCCTCGAGTTATCTATTTACCCCTGAAAACCCTCCCTAGGCAGCTCTGGCTGACTGAATCTGCAAATGACCTTTATCCTAGTTTCTTAATTTTCACCTATGCTTCTTTTTCATATGGGACTGCAGTCAAAAATGAGAGTTGATTGTCACAATCAATGAGAAACAGGCACAGAGAACGTGCTAGCTCCTTCTGTCAAAGGGACTTGCTAGATGAACCTTCTCATTCTTCTTGATGGAATAAAATCCAAACGCATCACACTCAACTTTGTGACATTTAATTTGATTCAAGGTACCAAGAACATACTGCACATCTGAAATCCAGCAGACATAGGATCAACAGCTTGGAAAAGGAAGGACAAAAATTGACTGAAGAAAACAACTGCTTAAAAAGTACAACTGGGGGCAGCCAGGTGGCGCAGTGGATAGAGCGCCGGCCCTGAAGTCAGGAGGACCTGAGTTCAAATCCGGCCTCAGACCAAGCACTTGACACTTACTAGCTGTGTGACCCTGGGCAAGTCACTTAACCCCAAATGCCTAAAAAAGAAAAAAAAAGTACAATTGGCTGAATGGAAAAGGAGGTACAAAAATACACTGAGAAGAAGAACTCCTTAAAAAGTAGAACTGGCCAAATGGAAAAGGAGGTATAAAAGCTAACTGAAGAAAACAGGTTGTTAAAAATTATAATTGGGCAAGTGAAAGCTAATGACTCAGACATCAAGAATCGTCAAACAAAATCAGAAAAATGAAAAAATAGAGGATAATGTAAAATATTTCATTGGAAAAACAACTGACCAGGAAAACAGATCCAGGAGAGATAATTTAAGAATTATTGAAAGTCACAATAAAAAAAAAAAAAGGAGCCTGGACATCAGGTTTCAAGAAATTATCAGGGAAAACTGCCCCAATGCCCTAGAATCAGAGGGTAAAATAGTCATTGAAAGAATCCACCAATCACCTCCTGAAAGAGATCCCAAAATGAAAACACTAAGGAATATTGTAGCTAAATTCCAGAATTGTTAGGTCAAGGAATAAATACTGTAAATAGCCAGAAAGAAACAATTTAAATATCACAGGATCCTAGGGAGAGCCTTAGAGCTAAAAGGGATTTCAGAAATCATCTAGTCCAACCCCATATTACATACGAGGAAACTGAGGACCAAGAGACATGGCCAAAATCACACAGGTAGAAAGTTTCACAAGTAGGATTTGAACTCCATTCCTCTGGCCCCAGAGGCAGTGCTCTTTCCATGTGCCAAATTGCCTATCCATAAGTGGCCATCTATGCTATGAGACTACTCAGTGAGAGGTTAGTGACCCTTCCTCGCTTTGAGTTGATTCCTTCTGGCCAAACATCTCTCCTCCACTTCCCCCACTTATCTACACTCCCCCATACACCCCCTTAGGATAACGAAGCCCTCATACCTCTCAGATTGTTCTTGGAGCTCCCCGCTTGGCTATAACTCTGTCTTCCATGTGCTGAAGCCAGTCCATTTCCTTGGTCCTCAGAACCTGATAGGAAACCCTACTGGCTATGCAGAACTCGAAGGAGTGTAGAGTCAGCTGGGAAAACCTCTGCTATGAAGCACTTCCTGTTGGGGCTACAGCCAAGACATTTCTTGATGATATTTCTTCTGATTGGTCCATCAGAGTTCTGGGAGGGAGAAACGGGGAGGGCGGAGTATAGGAAAGGAGAAGTATACTCTTTCTGGGAAGAACTGGAGGCCTACCACATCTTAACAGCCTTTGGGATACCATTTTGCATAATCAGCACCTCTGGGCTCCTCAGGTGTGTCACTGAGGCTCAGTGGGATTTGACACCCATACAGAAACACTGTATCCTGGCTTGGCATCATAACCCCCCATATGCAAGGCGAGTGTCCTGCCATGTACCTAGATAGAGCAAGTATTAAATAATAACCAGCCACCTGTGCTGCTGTCTGGAGGATTCAGGCATTAAGATGTTTCTTTAGTAGGAAGGACAGATGCACCTGGGCTCTCCTGTCCCTTTTGTAAACAATAATTGTAACTTGGGTAGGATAATCAGGGCTTTACTTCAGAGCACCAACATTTTGTGGCTAAGGAGGAGATCCTCTTCCTTCTCCCTCCTCTTTCTCCTTCCCCTCCAGAGACCCCCACCCCACTACCTCACACCTCAAGGGCTTTAGCTGGCTTGTGCAACCTTGCTTCCTCACCAGCTTCTGTCACCAGAGTGTTCCTCATCTGGGGCCATCCCAAAGGGGGCATAGATAGTATTTCCTGGAGAGCAGGTCTTCTCCTCTCCCAGTACAACTGCTCTGATGGGCAAACTGTTGCCTGAACTGGTACTGCCATCCCCAATTCCCCTGGTCAGACTATCTTTATATGACTCTACCTTTAGCATTCCTCCCCCACCTCACACAACTCCCTGAATTGCTTTTGTCCCAGGTAAAAGAATTTCTAGTTACGGCTCTAGTTAAGGAATAGCCAGGGAAAAAAGAACAAAGCCACACAAAAATTAAACAACACCCCCCCAACCATGGCACCACATTTTAACTAGCCATTGGTGCATGTGTATGTGTATGTGGCATTATCAATAAACCTGCCAATACCACAAACAACGGCAGACCCAGAGGTTAGCAACCTATGGCTTACGTAGGTGCCAAAGATGGCCCACATGCTGATTTTCATCAGCACATAGGTTACTGTGATTGTACCCTTACCACCCCAGTATCTGAAAGAGCCATAGTTGTCCACAAATTGACAGCTGACATACATTCAAAGGCAGAATGTCCCCTTGAGCTTTGCTCACAAGCTGGCAGCAGCCCTATCTTCCCTGTCCCATCCGGCAGGCCAGAAGGAAGAGCTGGAATCCTAGGTCTATAGATTGAGAAAATGCTTAGTTTCCCTAGTCTAACTTCCCCTTTATGAATGAGGAAACTGAGGTCCAAAGAGGTTTAAGTGACTTGTCAAAGTAGTAAGTGGTAATAGTAATGGTATCAGGATTCAAACCCAGATCTTTTGATTCCAAAATCAATGGGGCACACTACTATCTAGGGCAAGCAGAATGGAGTGTACCCTAAAATCAACTTTGTAATGATGTGGAAATAACAGAAATAATGAAGAGAAATTCAGCTGAGTGGGAGGGTGAATTTGTTGCTGCAGAGCCTTAGGAGGCAGAATTTCAAAGCTGGAAGGGACCTCAGAGGTGATCTGGTTCAACCTATGAGATCTAAAACCCCACGCTCTTTCTACTCCACCAGAATAGGCCTTGGGGAGGTTCCTTCTCACATATCCTGAAGGAGAGAAAGTAACACCAGGGCTATTTACTCAACCTTGATTAGGGACAGAGGGGGTCAGAAATGTCATGACAGTAAAGGTTGGTCCCTTTGGAAGAAAGGTGACGTTCTGAAGAGAGGACAGGGTAGACAGGAAACAGATACAGAGCAAAGAAGCTTCATTCTTCTGTCCCCATAACTCCCGAGAATCCTAACCACCTCTTTACCATTCCTTGGCTAGCTTTTGAGATCCCATCCCCTTCTACTCAGCTGAAGTTAATTTTTCATAAATCTGCTAACTTTTTCACTCTCCCGCATTTTCTACGCAAGTGCAAAAGCCCAGCTTTACCTTTCCCACTGCAACATGTTGCCTGCCTTTTAAAGTACATGTGACCTCTCTGCTCCTATGTGAGCCAACATAATTTACAACTCCAATTGTCCTAGCCATCTTACACTGATTTAGAAGCCTTTCCGATCCTCTCAACACTCTCCCTCTCAAACTATCTTGAATTTAACTACTTTGTATTTGTATTTATTCACTTTATACAGGGTATACTTTTGGGAAAACCTGTAATTATGCTGTATTTTTAGTTATTTGCTTTCTCCCCCATTATAGGTAAGTTCCTGGAGAGCAGGGATTGTTTCATTCTTGTATCCCTAGTAATTAACACAGTACCTGGCACACAGTAGGGACTTACTAAATATTTGTTGATTTTCTAGGAATTCTGTGGAGGGCAATAGAAGAACATGGGGCAAGAATGCCCAAATATGGTGTTTCAGGGCATCTAGGTGGCGTAGTGGATGGTGTACTGGTCCTGGAGTCAGGAGGACCTGAATTCAAATGTGGCCTCAGATACATAACACTAACTAGCTGTGTGACTTGGGGCAAGTTACTTAACTCCAACTGCCTCACCAAGAGAAAAAAAGACAACCAAATATGATGTTTCTTTATGCAGCAATGGTGAATGACAGAATTTGGAAGGGATAGGTATGTAGCGTGAATGTCTATCAACTATTGGGTTGACATTGGTTGGACATTGCAGTATCTCAAACAAGGAAGAGTGGGACCCAAAAGTCCATTAATATTAATGCCTAGTTGACCCAGTTAAACTAAACTCTTCCTCTTAGACATTTTCCTAGCTTATGTAGGCTAACATGAAAGGAAGTGGATATGGTGTTCAGGGAAGGGAGAAGTAGAAGCTACAGTCATGATGTAAGACTTTTTTACCTGGTCCCACCCTAAGACAATTTTACTGCTCACCTAGTTGCTTTCCAGTCTGTTTCCTTGAACTAGCTTCTTAGATGAATTGCCCTTGGAATTTTTGCTTGTGGGCCTTCAATTGCTATTAATAAGATACATGGGAATGTCCTGTATATCTATACAGAGGAGTTACCCTCAGTTGTGAATTGTCTGCAACATCCTGGGTTTTCCCACATTCCAGCTGCTGCAAATGAAAGGGAAGGCTTGAAAAGGACTGGAAAGGGATGTTTCAAGGAGAGACAAGACCAAAAATGGGCAAAGATTTGTAGGGATTCTGTATGTGGAGAAAAGAGCAGAGATGTGATAATAAGTGAAGGTAAAAAAAAATGCTAATAGTGAAGCATCAATGACTCTCCAGCCCCCAACTCCACTTTGCCTCTCCAGGCAATGGTTTACCCATTGCAAAACAAGGCTCTTTAGACAATAACAAAATACATGCCCTACTTACCTCACAGGAATGTGAATGCAACTTAAGAAACAAAAACAATTTTAAGGTAGTTTATCAGAGCCAACAGAACCAGGAAGACCTGAGCTCGTAAGTACATCTTCTCAGTGCCCCAGCTAACTCTTTAAAAGGTCCACATGAATTGGTCTGCATCAGTGAAGGGAGTTTCTCTATGGGGATTAAATCACGGGACCACACAAAAACAAGCTACCAGGTATTATTTTTATCAAGAGAGAAAACTAAAAGATAAGAGTTCTATTATCCTAAGTTTGGTCAGGTGCCCAAAGAAAAGCAACCCCTCTAAGCATGATTTACCAAGAGGGCAAGAAAAATAAAATGTGAGAATGATTTAGCTTCAAAAATCATCAGTCTTCCAAGGAGTATCGTGTTTCAGCAACATGAGTCAACACCTGGAGTGACTTATAGCACCCCGAATGGTGTCATTCTGTTGTATAGAATCACACTGTACCAAAACCCAGCTACCATAAGATTCTAAGAAAACAGGAATGACGTCAGTCTGTGAGGTCTGGAGAGGAGAAGGAAATGGGAGACATCTTCCTCTTAATTGTGTAGTGAACTGGGAGGACCAAATTTGAGCCCTCTTCAAAGGATGCCTTGACTTCATGTCCCATTTAGCCTGGTCTCATGCCTTGATTTCTATCCATAGGCACTTGGCCACTTTCTCAAAAATTTTTAGCCTTGGGGCAGCTAGGTGGCTTAGTGGATAGAACTCTGGCCTTAGAGTCAGGAGGACCTGAGTTCAAATCTGGCCTCAGACACTTGACACTTACTAGCTGTGTGACCCTGGGCAAGTCACTTAACCCCTACGTCTCACTAAAAAAAAAAGCAAAAAAAATTTTTTTTCTAGCCTATTAGAACACCCCAGTTTTTGACAATAATAACAAAATCAACATGCTTCCCCCTTTTCCCTAACAGAAACAAAAAACTCGAAAGTTCAGAACGGCTAGTCATTTATGTATATGAAGACAAGGACCCAGACCAAATATTAGTTACAGGTTTCAGCACTAGAAGACACTTTGGAAATCAAGTTCAGTGGTGTCAAACTACTCCATACACAGAGATTCCTTAACTTAATTTTAAAATGTAATGTTATCTATGTTTTATTGTACTTTTATTTATTTTGTTAAATATTCCTGATCACATTTTCATCTGATTTTAGCTGCACCTGGTAGTGTTATGGGCAACATATTTGACACCTCTGATCTAATCTTAACACTTATTTTACAGATAACTGGCATTTATACAGTTTTAAAGTTTACAAAACACTTTCCCTACAAAAGCCCTGTGAGGTAGGCAATGCAAGTATTATTCTTCCCTATTCTTAACAGATGAAAAAACTGAGGCCCAGAGTCATTAAATGTCTTGTAAAAGATCAGAGCTATAACAAGGGAAAGTAACTGAAGCTTTGTACCAGGTCTTTAACAGGGGACAGAGGACAGAGGGTAGGCATGAACCGCCATGCATGTTCCTTTCTCAGGGCTCATTATTACCACCAAACCTTTCAGAGACAGTGGCAGGACTCAGAGGGCTGGACTGTCCTTTATGCACATAACCCATCCACTGTCTGCTAGACCGTTTTCTCTGTACCAGTATTACTGTCCAACCCTATCAAACTGATATTCATGGTGCATGCACCTCTCTCCTCCACCCTCCTGATCTGTCCCCACTCCTAACTGGTTTGGCATCAGAAGAAAAATTTCCTGGTTACAGCTCTACCCAAGATTCCACAGGTAGGAAATGACAGAGTCAAGATTCACACCCATGACCCTTCTAGCTTTCAGATTTAGCCATTTCACATGTATGTGATTGACTGGAAAGTATGGCAGGTCTTTAGCATCAGCCTAAGGCCTTTATGTAATTTTGTAATTATGTAATTTATGTAATATTGACAAGAGTGGGGCTGAACCTGAGAGTGTATGTATATTCATAGTATACCCTTGAGAAAATAAAGCTAAAGGTTTTTTTTTAATGAAAAATAGAACATCTAGCATCTATACACATACACACACACACATAAATATTTATATCTTTCCCTCCAAACATTTAGACTTGTTATTTGCATAAAAAAATAAACCCTCCAGTTAAAGAAGTGTTATCTCTTCAAAGCAGCCAAGGGACTATTCATTACCAACATCACTGAAGGTGGAATGACTGAGAATCCCAGTCACCTCTTCTGATCCAGAATCAAGTGATCACACAAAATAAAGCTTTGACAGCAAAAATAAATAACTTCCTATTTCTCTCTTCCTCCTCCTCCCTATCCCAAAGCCCCCCTAGGCCCCCTCCTCCCCTTATTCTAGTGCAACAAAGCAGTGGCATGAGCCTTTTGCAGAAGAGTCCAATTTCTAAGGTTTACAGTATGAGTGATAATCCAGGGTGGTTAGTGTGATAATTGGTCTTCAGTGAGGAGCTATGTGAGAAGTGTTGACTCAATACTGTCTGTACAGAGGAAGCCTTCATGACAAAGAGGCTTTCTTATCCTTCATGGTTTCTTGACTTTTTTTTTTAATTTCTGCAAGGTCAGTTGGTTTTAAGCAAGTTTAAGATTTCCTCGGCTCCAGAAGCAGTTTTCATGGCCAGGAATCCTGCAATAGAAGAACGTGCAGGGGCTCCCAAGGATGCTTTCATCCAGCTGTTTCCACACCTTTAGACAATGCCTTCAGCAAAAGCCAAGGTCTATAAATGCAGAAGACAATCAAGCTGACAGAATGGAAGATGGGGAGATGTACTGTTGGGGACAAACTAACTGGTTGTCCAAAAAGCTTCCTGAAAGCCAGTGTTTCTTAACCTTTTTTGTGTCTTGGACATCTCTGGCAATCAAGTGAAGCCAGAATAATGTTTTTATTTAATTTAAATAAAATATGTAGGGGCAGCTAGGTGGCGCAGTGGATAGAGCACCAGCCCTGGAGTAGGAGGACCTGAGTTCAAATCTGGCCTCAGACACTTAACACTTACTAGCTGTGTGATCCTGGGCAAGTCACTTAACCCCAACTGCCTCACTGAAATAAATAAATAGATAAATAAATGAATAAATGAGGCAATAAACAAATAAATAAAATGTGTAGAATTGAAAAGGGAATAAATTATGCTGAAATACAATTGTCAAAATATCAAAAACCAATTTCAAAGACCCAAGGTTTAAGAGCCTGTGCCCTCGGGGTTTAAAAATAAGTGCAAGAGAACAGAGAACTGTTTCTGAGAGCAGAGCAGTGAGTGCGGCCTCAGGCCTCCTCTTCTTCATCTGTATGAAAAGAGCAGTGGGATTTTCTTAAGGGCAGAACTTGTCTGCTCCCAAAATGAAATGGCAAAGTGGGGGCTGGGGGAGGGACAAGGAAGAGAAGGGAGGGGGTGAAGGAGGACAAGTGTAAAAAATCCCCTGGCAGGCTGTAAGACACCAGTGTGACATTTCTGTGTCCAGGGCCCTTCAACCCCACGTATTATCAACTTACCTCCAGCCTCCTCTTCACACCTTCCTTCTCCGCTTCCTGGCATGCATGGCATTTCTGGTCTTCAGCACATTGAAGTCCGCAGCATCTAAAGTACTGGATATGGCATGTGGGACAGGATTGGGAGAGCCCTAAAGCAAGATCCAAAAGAGAAAGAACATTGATCAGAGATCCGGGAGTGACAAGGGGGAAAGTAGAGGGAAAGGAATTCCCCTTTCAAGGCTAGAAGAAAGACAAGACCTGGCCCAATGGCCTGCTAGCCCCCTGTTGCCCTGCCCCAAATACAGGGAATGTTTAAAGAGATTTCTACATATAGAATCTAGAGCTGCAGGTTCACCTCACATTTAGATTTTAGTGAGGATGGACAGAAGACTGTAGGAGGAGAGAAAGGCATCTTCCCTTCTCTCATGCTCAGGTATGTCATGGTCTGAAAAGAGCTTAGCAATGCTGACCGAAGGAGACAGGTTTTCAAGGAGTGGTACTTTTTTGTTGGTGGTGGTTTAAAAAATATTTTTTAATTGATCTTTAGGAGTTATATTTACTTATATTTTACAATTTATTCTAACCTCCTTTCCCACCCTAAGAATCACGCTTTACAATAACAAATAAAGAGGAAAGAGACCAGTTAGCTAAACTAACCAACATACTCAAAAAATCTGACATTATATGCAGCACTCTTCCCCAACAGTCCCTACTTTTGCAAAAGTGACTGGAGGAGTATTTCTGAAAGAGGTTCTTTCTAATTGGTTGTTGTCTCCCCCACAATACCTTAAAAACCTTCAAAGACAGTGGATGAGGCAAGTTCTCGTTCCTGCCTTCTCCTTCCACAAAAGCCCTGAGAGAGCAAGAGGCCATCAAACTCTATGGCTTATGTGACTAGTGTTTGCCCACATTCTTCAGAACAGCCCTGATATAGTACAATGAGCTGCTTCTGTTCTGACCACCTAGGAAAATGCTAAGGGAGGAAGCCTCTATGGTAAAAATGTCATTTCCAAACCAACTACCTCTGGGAAAAATTATCATTCTGGGGATGGGAACTAGGAAGGTATGTCTAATTTCAAGGTGAAAACTATGATTAAGTCAAACATGGAATTCTGGTTAAACATCACCAACAAAACAGGGCTAGATATTGGAAAAACACATTATCTGGAGTTCTCTTGAGATACTGATCAAGCAAGACACTGTGCTTGGAGAGCAGGAATTACATTAAAATACTAACACAATTGATAACTGAAAGGAACCTTAGTGATCATTTAGTCTAACCCAGGGGTGGAGAACCTGTTGCCTCGAGGCCACATATGGTCCTCATAGTCCTTGGGTTCGGCCTTTCAACTGAGTCCAAGTTTTACAGAACAAATTCTTTTATTAAGGGGATTTGTTCTGTGAAGTTTGGATTCAGTCAAAGGGTGACACTTGAGGACTTGGAGGGCCACATGTGGTCTTGAGGCTGCAGGTTCCCCACCCTTGGAGCCCCTGTATTTTCCAGTTAAAACAGAAAGACACCTTGGCTTGTCCAAGATCACCTAGTGAGCTTATGACGGCTGGTCAGGTCTCCTGGTGTCAATCTAGTAATCATTACATTGCCTCTACTGAGACTCTGTGCCTCTATCAAAACACAAGTTATGCAATTTATACTTCTGAAGTTTAAGCATATTACCTACTACTGACAGGGAGCAACCACAATAAGGAAAAGGGGAAACTTTGGTTTGAACAAATGACTTCAGCTGTCAGTTGATATTTAAACATGAACATTTATATATCTATATCTATTTATCTATAGCTACTACAATTACAAAGCTGAAGACTGCAAGAGCTAGAAAAGACATTAATAGGGGGCAGCGAGGTGGCACAGTCGATAGAGCACTGGCCCTGAATTCAAATCCAGCCTCACCCATAACACTCATCAGCTGTGTGACTCTGGGCAAGTCGCTTAACCCCAATTGTTCATATAAAAAAAAATAATAATAATGGAAAAGACCTTAATGATTTCTTGGAGCAAGGGTTCTGAATGTGGTGTCCGTGAACTTTCTTGTTAGTATGCCAATAACTATTTCAATGTAATTGGTTTGTTTTGTGATCCTATGTATTTTATTTTGTGTATTTAAAAACACTGTTCTAAGAAGGGGTCTACAGGCTTCACCAGACCCAGAGAGGGTTCCAAGACACAGGAAAGTTAAGAACCCCTGATCTACAGTCATTTTATAGATAAGCCCAGGAGGATGACTTATACAAAGTTATAATCAATAAGTCATTCAACAAGCATTTGTTAAGCACTTACTATATATCACCCACTGCCAACAGACACCAGAAACACAAAACTTAAAAGAAAACAGTCTCTGCTGTCAAGGAGTATACAGTTTGTTAGGGAAAAAAATTATACACATACAAGTAAATATAAAAAAATACACAAAGTAACTTTGCATCTGAGCCCCTAGGGACTCAGGTAAGGCCTCGTGAAGAAGGTAGCACTTGAGTTGAGCTGTGATAGAAGCCAAAGACTCTGAGAAATAGGGTGTTGGAGGAAGTGGAAGGAGGTGCATTTCAGATAGGGTCATGGCCTGTCCAATGCTATATTACAACAAGTGGGTCAATTTGGCTGTAATGCACGAAGGGGAGTAGGATGTTACATCCTAACAAGCCTGGAAAAATAGGCAGAGGCCAGGATGTGAAGGGCTTTAAATGCCAAAAAAAGAGGAGCTTTTATTTTATCCTAGAAACAATAAAGAGCCACTGAATCTTTCTGGGCAGAAGGCAGACATGATCAAATCACACTTGTGCTTCTGGAATGCCCCTTTGGCAGCTGTGTATGGGATGGACTAGAGAGGGGAAAGAAGATTAGAGGCTGGGAGGCCAATTAAGAGGCTATTTTCGTAGTTCTAGTGAGAGGTAATAAGGTCCTGAACAAGGGCAGTGACAATGTGAGTGAAAAGAAGAACAGACGCAAGAGATGTTGTGGAGGCAAAATTGACAAGACTTGGCAACTGCTTGGATATGGGGGAGTGAAAGAGTCAAGAGTCTTGGATAATTCTAAGACTTCAAACCTGGATGACTAGAAGGACACAGTGCCCTTGAGAGCAACAACTAAGAAAGAAGAGTAAGTTTTAGGGGATAAAAAAATGAGTTCTGTTACAGACACATTAAGTCTGAGGTGCCTATGGGACATCCACTTGGAAATATTTAATGGGTGGTTGTGGACAGAAGACTAGAGCTCAGTAACAGACTAGGGATGACTACTGAATTTGGGAGTCATCTACATAGAGATGATAACTGAATTCCTGGGAGCCAATGAGATCACTAAGACAGATACAGAAGAGGTCTCAGGACAGAGATGTGGGGCATACTCAGAAAAGGAGACTGAAGAGTGGACATCCAGACAGGCAGGAGAAATAAGAGAGAGCGAAGTCATGAAAACCAAGAGGGGTGAGAGTATTCAAGAGGAGAGGGTGAATCAACCATGTCAATTACTGCAGAGAAGTCAGGAAGGAGGAAAAGTCAGAAAAGGCTATTACCTAGATGGCACAGAGGATAGAGCACCGGCCTTGGAGTCAGGAGGACCTGAGTTCAAATCTGGCCTCAGACACTTAACACTTACTAGCTGTGTGATCCTGGGCAAGTCACTTAACCCCACTGCCTAGCAAAAAAAAAAAAAAAGAAGAAGAGAAGAAAAAAGAGAACGAGAAGGCCATTAGATTTAACAGTTAAAGAGATCTTTGGTAACTTAGGAGAGAATAGTTTAATGATGAAATCATACAGAATTCAAGGGGTTAAGAAGACAGGAAAAGGAGAACTGGTCAAGAAGCACAGGAACACAAACACTTTTTATAGGTGCCTGGCTATAATGAGGAGATATATAGGACAGAAGTAAGACAAGGTTTTGTTGTTTGTTTTTTTTTTAAAGGATGGAAAACCTGGACATTTTTGTAGGTAGCAGCAGGGAAAGGGAGCCAGCAGGCTGTGGAAGATTAAAGAATAGAGAGACAGAGAGGATGATAGTAGGGAAAAATCTCCTGAACTCGACAGAAGGGATGGTATTACAAGTAAAGAGGTTGACCTTGGCAAAAGGGAGTCACCTTTTAATCAAAGAATGGAGTAAAGTAGAAGGGCTGAGAGTAACAGATCTAGGACTTGAACACAGGTCTTCGCTTCTAAGTCCAGTGTTATCATTTACTTAATACTAGAGAAATTATTATAAACAAAACACCTAAACTATAAGACTTTATCTAAAGAAAAGGAAAAAAATAGAACTGCTATTGCCAAAGAAATAATTCAGAAGTCAAGAACAGTCAAGAACAAAATGTTGCAGAAAAAAATCTTCAAATTATGTACTGTATTTCTACTTTAGGAAAAAAAGTCATTTCTCTAAAAATAATTTTTTTTTTGGAAAACAAGACTAGCAAAAGATTGTTAAAGACCCTAATAAGGCTTTCTGTTCTGCACAGGCAGAGCAGCACTCACTCATCTTTAAATCCTCACTGAATTCTGGAGGCAATGCTTACACAAATTTAGATGGGTTTGGAACAGGCTGCTTTTTCTTCATAAGAAGTGAAATCACAGACACGTGCTAAATGAAAATACTATTCAAAGAAGGCTGTTTCCCATTCCTGGCCACTTCTTTGTAGCTTTGGGTCACAGTTGAGCTCTGGTCTGTGAAGATGGTAAACAAAACTGGGCAATGATGTTGGAAAAATATTTTTGCCCTCCTTAATCTAATGTGATTATCAGGGTGGCAGCCAGGAATTCACTAAGGTTTAAAGAAGTGGAATTCCTCCTCTTCAGATCCCCATGTCCTTCCTCACCTCCCTGGACAGCAGACTCCCTGTCCAATTATTGACCTTACTTGGATAGAGGATGTGGTCTCTGGAGTGGACTGGGTATCTCCAGCTGTGTTTGCCAGCTGTTCCTTCCCACCACAATCGCTGTCTTTGGACCTTCTCTCTGACTGCAAGCACTCCTCCTCTGGCTCTTCCTCTTTTTCCTCCTCACTCTCACTGTTTCTGTCCATGGTCCGTGAAATGGTGGTTGAGACCCTAGGCGGGGGAAGAGTGGCAAGAAAAGCTGGAAGGGCAAAAGCTGCCAAAAACCTGGCTTTCAGGAGGAGGTATGCAGGGTTCTCCTTAAGTTGCTGCTGCACTAGATGCCGAGCTGCCTGAATGTCCTGTCTGGACACGTCATTCTTGTCCTGGACTCTTCCCTGTGCCACTATGGTAGCGGCTCTTTGCTCCAGGGATTTCTTTTGGAGCAGAAGCCCTGACAAGGTCTTTAGATTGCACAGAAAGGGAGGCAGGTAAGGCAGTGTGCTCTGAAGCGGGGGCAAGCAGACGCCTTGCTTTCCTTTGAGCCACTCCCTTACAGAAGCCTCGCTCTCCAATGATAGGAGGCTCAGGTCCAGAACGCTTTTCCCAGGCTCTAGGGCTTTGGGCTGATTGTCCTGGGCATCCACTCCTTCTTGTGGCTGGGTAATGGGTTTAGGTGAACCCGTTGGGGTGGGAAATGATTTCTCAGGACTGCCATTCTGAACAGGAATATTGTCTTTTGTCTCCACGGGATCCTGGCCTCCTGTATTCACTCCACCTGGGCTCTCTGCTTCTAGGGTGGGCATACCCCTTGGTTGACTTGTGGGGTTCTCGGTCTGGGACTGTGTTTCAGGCTGGGGAGAAGCTGCAGATATCTCTCCAGCTGTCCTCACTTCTCTGGGAGAAGGTTCATCTCCAGGAAGACTGGTTTTTTCTGAGTGATTTCCTGTATCTGATGAAGCTGTGGTGGGAAGTTGTGTTGGAAGGTTTGCTCCATAAGTTCCTGAGGCCAGGTCTCCTTTAAGAGTTTTATTGGCAATAAGTGGCCTTTTGGCTAAAGTGGGACTTGGTTCAGGGGCCCTAGGGCTCTGCTCGACTGCTGATGAAGGTAATAGCTTCAGATTAGTCTGACTCCTGGCCACTCCTCCAAGGATGGGGAGCACAGGAGTTCCAGCTGGCTTGCCTGGTGCAGGGAGGCCTACAAAGGTTGACATGGACATAGGGACGAGCCCTTGTGCAGTAACAACCCATGTAATAGGCAAAATGTTGCTGGAGATAACTTGTGGGCCACAGGTAGGAACTGAAAGGGTAGGCACCAGGCTAATGGGTTTGGGCTGCTGCATAGAGACTTGAGCTGGAGCAAGAAAAGGAGGTACCTTGGGCAGTTCCTGCTTCCCTGAGGTGGTAGTGACTTGAGAAGACAGGACACTAGCTGGCTCTGAGCTGGTAGAAATCTGGCTTACTCCAAGGGCTGGATTAGCTGCTCTTCCAGGGACTGGGCTCTTGCTAGAAGCAGAGTGCCCTTCAGCCCCCATCAATGAGGAAGATTGGCCTGAGGCAAGCACCTGGGGGGCAGAGGTCCCATCTGTTTTATTTACTTTCTCTTCAACAATGACCTCATTACCCTGGGAGGAGCCAGAGTTATTTGTGATAGAATTTTTTTCAGGGGACTTGGTGGAAGCTATGATGGGGGAAGGTGTTTGGAATGTGGCTGCTGGGCTTGAAGCCGTGGCTACTGGCTTCCCAGCTGACCCTGATCCCAGTGGCTGGGCCGTGGCAAGAGTGGAAGGGAGAAGTGGTTGCAGAGGTTGCTGAAGGATCACAGGTGGGGTGATCAGCACCTGAGGGGCAAGGATCACTGTGTTCTCCAAGGCCTTACTGGCTCGGGATTCCCTTAGCCGCTTCTCCCTCAGGAGTTCTGAGACAGTCTTCGGCTTTGGTTTGGGGCCTAAAGAAGGCGGTAACACCACTGGCCCTAGATGGCCAGCCTCTGGCAAATCTTTCATCTTAGAAGCAATAGATTTCCTTTGGGTTTCTTTGCCCTTCATCAGCAGGCAGCCTGCAAGAGAGACAGACAGACAGACACACACACATATACACACACAATAAATATGCAGACCCAGGGCAGGCTAACCATAATCCAATCTCAGAAGCCTCTGGCTATACAAAACTGTCATACCATTCATTTAACAAATGCTTATTATGCACCTAGTGTATGCTCAGCCCTATGTCATGTACTGTGAAAGAGATTAGAGGCAGGATAGAATCTGTTTTTTTGTTTGTTTGTTTGTTTTTTGTGAGGCAATCAGGGTTAAGTGACTTGCCTAGGGTCACACAGCTAGTAAGTGTCAAGTGTCTGAGGCCAAATTTGAACTCAGGTCCTCCTGACTCCAGGGTTGGAGATCTATTCACTGTGCCACCTAGCTGCCCCTAGAATTTTTTTTCTTAAGGAGTTTAGAGTCTAGTTATGGAAGAAGGCAGCTTCTTTATACACTGTGCTGAGCTGGAGAGCTGGGCCAGAATGGGGCAAACGTGGAAGGGACTGTATCTTAACAAGTGTGCGATCGTGTCTGAGAAAATGGAGAGTAATCATGATTCAAAGCCAGAAAAGAATTTAATGGCGGGTATATCTGGCAGATGCTTACACTTCTCCCTCTGCACCAGAAACTTGACTTATTATCTTTAGGTACTACACATACTCCAAAAACACAACTGTCTTAAAATCACCTCAAAGTTTTTCCTTTCTTTTTTTTTTTTTTGGCAGCGATGGTATGGGGGGGGTGGGCGCAGATGTTTAGGTCAAATATGCCTATCTAGTTTTTAAAACTAACTCCGGAATATCCAAATATTGGCTACGAAATTCAAATATTTATTCCTAGACTGGCTTCCCTGCATATTCAGCATACTTCTTGGGCTTCATGTCCCAGAGTTAGTCAGTATGAATTCAAAGAGGGGAAATTCACTTTAATCTTGCCTGAGCCAAGTGTGAGCAAAGTAAACCCTTTACCTCAAAAAATAATTTCACCAAGCATCCCAAAGACAAATTACTTTGAAATTATATGAAACAGGGTCCCCTTTCACTATCATGGAAAAGTGACTAATGATGAGCACAGCTAATGCAGCATCCCAAACTTCATGCTCATTTTGCTAAAACAAGCAGTGTCAGGAGTGGTAAAAGACCTTAGTCCCAGATGCTAGAGTTTTCCTTCTCTGGGTCAAAAGGAGGAGAGGGGAGGTAATGAGTGACAAGCTGTGCTGAGAAGACCTCGGTAGATGCTGTATGGATGTCTGCTGTTTCCATTCAAGAGAATTAATGCAACCTTGCTGAAGTCTAGCACTCAGCCCTGCTGATTTAAGACAACATAACCAGGAGTTGGTTGCCAGGGTGGAAAGAAGGCAGGGAAAGGAGTCACATATTAGGAGGCATTTTAAGCCATAGTGCTCAGTGACAAACCCAAACTCTATTTGTGGAAATTCCTTTGCAAGATGTGAATGACAAAAAGGAAGGAGAAATGCAACTTTACCTGAAGATTTCTGTAAAGTGGAGGATGCCTAGAAAAATAGGAGAGAGGCAAACTAATTAACAATGTTAACTGTCAAGGCATTTCTAGGCTTTCGGCTTACAGAAAAATTCTTTCAAGTTATAGACTGACAAAAAAAGCACAATCATTTATGAGATACTCAGATATAGTCACATTCACCGGGATGACAGGCAGGATAGCACAAAGGTACCAACTGCCAAACTGCCATCCTCTGCCAACTTCCCTCCTCCTTCCAATCAATTAGTATGAAGTGGAATTCATAAATCGTGGAATTTAGATTCGGGGAAAAAGTCAGGGGATAATCTGGTGTGGCCACCAGCTTGCAGGCAAGTAGGTAAGGTTCTCTATTTCACCAATGAGGCAAATGATGTCTAGAGGTTCAGTGGCCCATCCAAGGTCCATTCTACTACAGCCCACATCCTGATTCACTCAGCTGGTTATAGCCATGCCCATTTTGAAAGGACAGTATAGGTAAGTAAGATGGGCAAAGTACTTAGCCCCAAGTTTTAAAAAATAAAACTCAAATATTCCATTCTCCACCTCTCTACCTGCTGAGGTCGCTGTGGATTTCCACTAATAGCCAAGAGCAGCTCTGACCGCTTGGACTTCCTTTCTCCAATCACTTTCATGCAGCCATCAGTATCAATCTGAAACAACTAAAGGCGGAACACATTAGTTAGTGTTTAAAAGAAGGGAGAAGATACTCTTCCAAACACCTATGACTTGTTAACCCAGGCCTGCCAAAAGGCTAAGATCATGATGTAGACCTGCTAGGGTTTATACAACACTCAGAATGCTCAAAACCGGCAGGATGTCAGTGGCTGGACATTTCCGTTTCAGACCTTCCTGAAATGCTTAAGGGACCAGGGACTTAAAAGTAAGTTCAAGTGAGACTAAACAAGGTCCATAAGAGTACTGCAAAAGTGGGGAGACTAACCAAGAGAATGAAGCAGCAGTATAGCCCAGCTCCTCCAGCAATTACTCCAACAAAAATCTGAGAATGCCAGACTGAGCAGTGATAGGAAATCTATGGAGAAACCAGTGGATCATCTTTCTACCATAAGGTCACAAATTTTACCACAAGCAAGTGACCAGAGCAGGCACCATGGAAGAGAGGTGGGCTGGGATCACAGAGTCAGACCCAGGGCTCCAGCATTCTCTCTGACCCTACCCTAGAGAGCAGACTGAGATCTGAGACTCAGCTCCAAGATGCAGGGTCTGAGATGCTGCTTCTAGTCAGACTTTGGGTACAGAAGATGGCCAAAGCACTGTTGCTTGAACCCAAGAAAGAAGATCTTGAACTCAGACCGTGGAAATAGAAGGCAGCCAAAATGCTATTGCTCTGATGCCAACAGAAGGGCATCAGATAAGGTGGGCCAAGGCAATAAAGGGCAATGCCAGTCCCACCAGAAGTTTGGAGAGCCTAGCCTTAACATAAAATCCAAATCTGGGAAGAAAGAGTTTTTAAAAGAAAAAAAAAAGGTAAGGTACTATTAAGATGCCAGGAGGGACAGCCAAGAAACAAACCCAAAAGAATAACTCCAAAACACCTACAAGCAAGGCTTCAAAGAAAAACACAAAATGAAGAATTAAAAAATATTACAAATGAAACAAGACCTCTAGAGGAAAGGATAGAAAAAATAAATAACTATGGAAGCAAAACTTGGAAAGAGAATTAACAGCTTTGCAAAAGAGTTTGTACAAAACCTCATCCAAGTAACAGACTGTCCAAAAATTAGAATGTACTAAAGAAAAGTTGATGACTTCATAAGACAATATGAAAAATATTAAAACAAAGTCAAAGATTGAGAAAATAGAATATAAGGTATTTCATATAAAAAACAAGTGATCTGGAATTTAAGCAACATTGAATTACCTGAAAGCCATGATCAAAAAGAGCCTAGACATCATATTTCAAGAAATTGTGAAAGAAAAATGTCTGGACATATTAGAACAATAGGATAAAATGAAAGTTCCTAAAGGTATAGGTACAGACCTATATCCCAGAACAACTTACCACTTAAAATTGAATATAATGCTATGAGAGGCAAGGAGAGAACATGAAACTTTAACGAAACAAAGAACATGTGAGCATTACGACGAAAAGACCAGAGCTGGGTAGAAACTTCAAATATGAATCAAGAAAAACATACACAGGGCAGGTAGGTGCCACAGTGGATAGAGCTCTGGCCTTGGAGTCCGGAGAACCTGAGTTCAAATCCAGCCTCACACACTTTGACACTTAACTGTGTGACCTTGGGCAAATCACTTAACTCTGATTGCCTAGCCAAAAAAAACAAAAACAAAAAAACACAAAACATAAACAAGTGAGCCATTGGATAAGACTTCATGAGGATGAAGTGTCTGCATTCCAATGGGGAAATGGTGTTATACAAGCATCTCCTGAGAAACTGTAAGGTCAGTAGGGGTCAGAAAGGCAATGAAGGACATGAGAGTGGTTTTGATCTATTTTGATGATCTTAAAACAAGAAAGGAAAAGGAAGGAAAAAAGGATATACTAAGGGAAAAGGGGGAGGGAAAGACAGGCAAACTCATCTCCCATTATCAGGATGTGCAAGCAGAAGTTTATACAAATAAGGAAGACGTAGGAGAAGCAGATGACACTTGCATCTCCCTTTCATTTAAACTGGTCAAAGGAGAATAGAATACACACATACACAAAGAATTTGGTGTAAATATAAACAGGAGAGGAATAGAGAGAGGAGAAAAGAAGGGAACAAGAAGGGAGTAGTCATAAGCAAAACAAATCTTCAGCTGGAGGAAAAGATCATGAAGAGAGGTTTACATGACTAATATGAGAATGTTTTGTCTGACTACGCTTATATGTATGAGTTTTTTCTTCCAAGTTTTTTTGGGGGGGGTGGGAGGAGGGATATGGTGAGAAAAAAAATTGACTGAAAAGTTAGTTAAAAAAAAGTTTGCAAAAGCAAACAAAACTGTCTTGAGTGACCCAATTAAATTCATTACAAAAAAAATTTAAGTTCCTACTATTGGCAAGGCAAAATGCTAGGTGCACAGGACAAAAATAAAATGGGATCTGCGCTGGAGGAGTTTATATTTGGGGTAGTGAGGAAGAGTAAGAAATAAATATATACAGATGAGGAAATACATGGTAATTTGAGTACAGAGAGAACATCAACAGCTAGGGAAAGCAAGGAAGGCTTCCCTAGGGTGGGACCTAAACTGACCCCGGAGGGAAAGTAAGGATTCTGAGGAAGAGGAATGAAGAGCGAACTCCGGGTACAAAGCATGGTAGGCAAATGGTTGGCAGCTGGAGATGGGAGGTAATTGGTAGTCCAGGTTGTCTGGAACGTAAGTGTGTGAAGGAGAGTAATGTAAAATAGGAGACAGATCTAGATTAGAGCCAGACTGCGCAGGGTCTGGAAGCCTAGACTGGGAGACTGTTATTTTAACCTAAAAACAATAGGGAACCACTCACCTATTTTTGAGGAAGGGGCTAACACAATCACACCTGTACCTCAGTTAAGACAATTCTGGCAGTTGTATGTCAAATAGAGACTGGATTCAAGAAGACCAATTAGGAAGCTACTACAAAAGTCTAGAAGAGGGGTCAAGCTCAGGAAGGTCAACTAAGCTGACCGTGGTTACACAGCTGCTTGGTGTCAGATGCAGGATTTGAACCCAACTCTTCATGACTCCAAGTTGAGCACTGTATGCAGTATGCTAAACTACCTCAGAGAAAGAAGAATTGAAGATGAGTCTAACGTGATGCACTTGGCTAACGGGAAAGGAGAATGGAATTCTTAATAGGAAGAGGAAGGTTTAGAGGAAGCGTGGGTTTGGGGAGATGGTGAGTTTAGTTTTTGAACATGTTAAATTTGAAATTCTGAAATATCCAAGTAGAGACGTCTTCAAGTGAAACTGAAGTTCAGGATAAAGATTAAGTCTGAATATACAGATCTGGGAGTCATCTGAATAGGGATGATAAATGAAACCAAAGGAACATATGAGATTATAAAGGAGTATGGAAAGAAGACAGAAAGGGATCCAGGCCAAAAGTCTGAGGGACATCTACGTTTAGGGGGCAGAAGATAATGGATGACCCAGCAAAACAGACCAAAGAATGTTCAGATAGGAAGATGAACCAGGGGAAAGTGGTGCTAGTGAAACCAAGAGAGGAGAAGAGTATCCAAAATGAGGAGAACCCGAAGTCACCAAGAGTCCCTGGGTGTAAAGCACCTACATTTCACAGATGCTCCACTGTATCCAACTTGGATTTAGATCCCTGACTTCAAGGGATGGCTTAATTATTCATCTTTGCTTTCATTTTCACGGTCTTTAGACCTAGGATGTCCTAGGGACATCACTTCTGACAATTTCTGGCAGCAGCATCCCACCAGTACAAGATCCATGAAATACTACTTCCCTCCCTTCCTCTTATTTTCCCCTTGTCTTTCGAGATTATGCCTGAGGCTTGTCTGGGCTCCTTATAGGCACTCCTTACTTGACAGTGGATTGGGAACTACAGAAGTTGCTGACCCTGCATTGAGGCATTAAGTGGTAAGAGTGGTGGGACCTCTAAAGTCTTCAGCTATGCATCAGATCACTTTTAAAAGCGGCTCCTTTAAAGAACAGATTTAGTGTAAATGTCAAAAGCTCATGGGAGCAAAGCCAACCTCTGCTTACCTGAATAAACAATGTAAATACAGGTGTACTTGTCAGATGGATAGTCTGCAACTTTGTCATGATGGTTTCTGCTGTGGAAAGAAAAAAGTCTAATATAAAAAATAACTCCAGACACCAAGCCTCTCTCCTTCAACAATCTCTAGGGGCTCCTTGGCTTGTACACTAAGAAGTTCAAGTGGGATCTCAGCTTTAGAAGGAGTTAGAGGGAGCAATGCTAGGGCCCCGAGATGTTGAAGAGACTGAGAGTCACCAAACTATGGACCTGTCACAGCACCACATCTCCCAAAGATTTCCAACTCCGGCTCCCCACCGAGTTGAGATCAGCAAGGGAGGTACAGGCAAGGAAAGGAAATATTAGACCCCTAAACCAAGGTAAGATGCTATCAATCATCATTAACCTTCCTTAATACAAGTGTTGATGGAAAACATGACATGCCGATATCCCTCTTCAAGGACTCTTCTCTTATCAACAAATTATTATGCATAGGGGCACTGTGCCAGGTACTGGATACACAAAGAAAGAGACAAAGTCTCTAACCTTGAGGAAGTTACTTCCAGTTAAAACAACCGCTGACAGGCTCCTCTTCTGTGATATTCATTTTATGTTTTCATTTTTATTTATTTGTTTTTTGCGAGGCAATTGGGGTTAAATGATGTACTCAGAGTCACACTGCTAGTGAGTATCATGTACCCGAGGCTGAATTTGAACTCAGGTCCTCCTGACTCCAGGGCTGGTGCTCTATCCACTGCACCACCTAGCTGCCCCTCATTTTATATTTTTTAAAAAATAAATCGACTGCTACATTAAGCAGCACCGTCAGAACACTGGGCCTACTTCCATCCCAGTCCCTGTAGCCATCATCCAGAGAATCAACCTGGATCAATGAACTACAGCAACAGCTTCTGCAAAGGCTGTAGCCACTGCCTCCTCAGCAGCCACAGTGACTGGAGGCCTTTAAAAGAAAGTTCTTATGACCAAAGTCCTGGCTTTGTCAAAGGCTAAACATCAGAAAGAAAGGGTTTCATATGTAACATAAATAGAACACAAATGAAGAAGCTTTATGACGTGCTTTGCCGCTGCACTCTAAGGACCACAGGGCCTTCTACCAGACTGGCAGCTGAAGCTTCATTTGTTTGCTGTGTCCCCGTCCTGGCCCAATCAGAATGTCCATGAGTGACTATCTTGCTTTTCTACTTAAACCTCAGTGGTTACTAAATGTTTCTTCTTTTATTCTTTCAGGCATGTACACAGTGCAGAATAGGATCACAGGCTTTAGAGCCAATGAGGATATTCAAATATTTGAAAGACCATACTGTCTTCTCTAAGTTCCCATTCCAGTGAAATAGGATGCACAAAGAACCAGTCTTTTAGTGTGAGGATCCCTTAGAAGCCATTAAGTTCAGCCTCCCACCTAGTGTCAGAATACACTCTGTATGAACATACCTCTAACTGGTTTAGCTACTCTTTGTTTCAACCCTTCTAGTGACTGGAATGTCTACTTCACACTAGTTACTTCACAAGGGAGTTTGCTCCATTTTTGGACATTAAGTTTCTTCCTTATATTGAACTAAAATCTGCTTCCCTGGGTCTTCTACCCACCAGTCCCATTCTGTTCTCTGAAACTAGCCTGTCTTCCATGTGACAGTTCTTCAAAATTTTAAAGGCAACTATTAAGTATCTTCTACAGCATCATACAATTTTCCTCTCCTTCAGTCTAAACATGTCCAATTTCACTTACTTACTAGCTGTTTTATGTTAGGTCAGTCCCTTAACATCTCTAGGATTCACTTCCCTAGCTCTAAAATGAAGAGATTGGACTAGATTAGCAGTTCTCAAATTTTTGGGTCTCAGGACCCTTTCACTCTTAAAAACTGAGCACACGTCCCCTCCCCCAAAACTCTGCGTTTATGTGGGTTATAGCTATAAATATTTATTGTATTAGCAATGAAAATATCTTAGTATTATTATGAAAATAGTTTTGGCCTCGTGGAACCCCTGAAAAGGATTTGGGGACCAAATTCAGAGAACCTCTATGCTAGAAATTCTCTATGTCATTCCCTCCACTCCCACTCCCCATCCCCACTCCAAATCCCATGACCCTAAAAACATTCTGCACATGATATGATTTCATGCATATTCACTACTCCGGTCATCCAGGAACTTAATTTGCTTTTTCCTCTTTTATGTTTTGGGGCTTTCCCCAAAAATTTCAATTTTCTTAAAACATATTCTGGAACGTCAGAAAAATGTGTATTCTCTTAAAAATGGTTATCTTCTCAGATCACCTAATTCACTAATCCTGTGATTTCTGTAAGCACCAGTCCAAAAGACATATACCATTTGACTCCATCTAGGCCTAGAAAAGGAAACCCCTCACTGACCCCTGCTCCCTTACCCCTATGTGGTACCTCGAGTCCGCACTGTTACAGCCTTCCTGGAACTCCAACAAGGAATGATGACATCACCCACCCAGGGAGTCACAGCCATCAAGAGCTTGCGGTCCAGCCTCTTCCTCTGTATGCCAATCTTCTGTTGCCGCTGCCTATTCAGAAAAGTTTTGTGCCATACCTGCACCACTTTTTCGATGGCCATTCCACCGTCAATTTTGGATACCAGAGATGAGGTGAACAGATGGGTCTTCTTCAGCCTCTCTTTCTACAAAGCAGGGAGGGAGGGGTTCTTAGGCTTATCTTTTTTTTTTCCCACTCAATCACTGCTATTTTAATGGGTAATGCAAACAACAAGAAATTATTAGAACGCTGATGTGTTTCTCATCATAGCATGTTAGACCCAGAATGGATGTATCTTAGGCTTATCTTAAAATACCACAGTGCTCCTTGGAAATACTGTTTGAACACATACAATATAAGACATTTCCCCCAAACTTCCTGTGTGATTCTTTTATCTGGGGTAAGTTCCAAACATGAACTTGAGTCAAAGTCAGGAGAGTCAGGCAGGGAGTTGGTTCCCACTTTACTCTGGCCACCCCCAATTTGGTCAGCAGACACCTACCCTGTAGCCATCTACTCTCAGATTCCAGAAACAGAGACCTGGCCAGAACAAAGAGAATGGTATTGACGAGAAATGCTGGGGTTGGAGGAGAGATAGTAGCCTGTGGTAGAACACATGCCTCTAGACCCAAGTGATGATGGTGGTGTTTGTTCTCCAAAAGACACCTTTCACTCCCAATTCCTGCTCTCCTCATCCCTTTCCCTATTATATCATAAAGTGTTCTTATTGCCTACTCTACCCTTCTTATACAAATGGGAAACCCCTGGGAAAAAATCTGTCCAAGCACAGATTAGATCCAAAATGGAAGAGAGTCTTTAAAGGACACTCAAATGGAGGCAAAGCAACAAAGCCAACATAGGTTGTATATTCTTTGTCATGGTTATGACTAGAAAGAAAGGTGAAGCTGGTCAAAACTGAGCAATATGAAGACTGGATGTCCTTAGGAAAAGTAAAATAAATCAAACTACACTGAGGGCCTTACCAGTTTCTGGTATTCCAAACAGGTATTGATCCTTATCACTTTCTTCACATCATTCAGGGCAACTTTTAGGAGACGCTTTCCAGTTGCAGAGGCCTGGTCCATAAAGCAAAATGAACATGAGGAGGAGAAAAAAACAGTAGCTAGTTCTATTTACCAATTGTAGAAAAACCCTTCATTCACTGTATTGCAATGAATACTTTTTTCTTCCCGGAAAGGTAAGACTTTCCCAGGTACTGCTGTATTATGTACATAAAATCTACATTATACTTCTGAAGTTTGTACTCCATACCCAGAAGGACACACTGGCTGCATTCTCTACCAAGCTACAAGAAGAATATCAGATTCAGTAAATACTGAGTCTGAACTCAAGGGTCAGTAACAGTCAAGGAATATGAAAAGCCCTTTCTCACTTCTACACACTGAAATCCCTTGTTTTGGACAGTACACACTGCTACATCTGAAGGCTGGTCAAATGGCTTACCTCTTCTAATCCTTCCTGTGGCTTCTCCAGACCAACATCAGCTGAATGTGTGCACTCTGTGTCCATAGAGACAGTGCTGTGGTCCAAAGTGTTCTTGTCCCAGTTGGAGTCCTTTCTCATCGCCACGGCTACATTTGGAACTGTCTTGCTGCCTTCTTTGGAGGCTACTCTGGAGGACACAGACGCTTTGGAAAGGCAGGGGGAAATAGCGGAGAGTCTGGGATAGCCCCTTTTTGGATCTTTCCACAGCTCAGTGTGACTCTGTCTTGTGGGCACCCACATGTCTATGCTGGGCACTGTGTACTGGCATGCCTTTGGTGCCCCTTCGGCATCTCTCTCCTTCTCCAGGTCATTATGCCACTCCAGTTCAGCATCCTCACTGCTGCTGCTGCTACTACTAGAGGAGGTGGAGCTGTATTTCTTCCTGGACTTCTGCCGTTTTCGGGGCTTCTTTTTCTGTGGGGAAGGAAATGGTTGGCTTCTACCTTTGTCCGGTCTCTATTTCTCCCTCATTTCCTAAGAAACAACAGTAAATTCTACAAATGACTCTAACAGAAGGAGACTTCAAGGAGTGAAGGATTTCCTCAGAGGAGACTTCATCAGGATTGGCTCTGGATAGACAGGCTCCTTTTACAAAGCAACAATGTCAGTGCTATGCTACTTGGGGGCTCGGGCAGAGACACAACAGCACATCCCAGCTCGAAGCCAAGCTAAAAACCTCAAAGGGGTTTTGGCTTAGGCAAAGACTCTTTTGCTTATGAATCAACAGAGTTAAGATGCCTTGTCTCTGCAAGGAAAAGCTCCTTGACTAAAGACTCTCCACCATTCCTTCCTAGATGTTGCCTTCCAGCTCTAAAGACAACAGACTTCTCTGTCAGATGATGTGCTCCTAGGTCTTGGCAAAGGAAGATATTTGTTTAAAAACAAAAACCAAAAAACTCCCACACCTTACCCTAATCAAGGCTTTCCACTTGCTCAGACATTGGGAGCCTGTCCGATGAGGCAACTCAGAGGCTATCTTTGCCCAGTGACCTAATGACATCAAAGAAAACAACACAGAAAATCTTTCTTGAGGGACCAGGGCTTACAGACCAGAGCAAAAAAAAATCTATACTTGAAGCCTAACTTTCTGGTAAGTGGCTTTATGCTTTCTGAAACATCAGAAAGTGGCTATTTTAGAGCCTGTTATGGAACAGCTATGCCATGCTCCTTCAGTTATTTGTGCAACAATTTGATTGGAGAAGCTCAAGTGAATTAGAGACCAGATTTAGTGACCAATCTGCTGGGAGACAGAAGGGGAATCTTCTCCCTTAACAATTTTACCTTTCACCCAAGTTCTGGCAATTACAGAATTAGGGAGAGGAAAACAACTCCCTACATCACTAATGTATTTCATTTGTAGCCTCGAAGTGGTTTCTGTACACCTGCTGCAACCAGTATTTTCAGATCTAGAATTCCCTACCTCTTTCCCATGATAACCTTCTCAGGAGATCATAAGGTGGGAGAGCAAGGATTGTGTCTATGTTCATCTCTGTATCCCCTAGTGAAAAATATAAAGCTTGCAGAAAGCAGAATTCACTGAATTTAACTGAATTGATTTGAAATTACATGCCTAATATTTGAACCTCCATCCTCTAATAGGAAATGAGAATTGTAGTATGTAAAATGACAAAGATGACATGCTGCAGACTGTGATATGTTTCTCAATTCAAAGCTGTGCCACTACTATAACTTTTTCCGACCTTTTAATGCAAATGGAAATTAATTCAAACTTGTTAGATAATGAAAGAGAATACATGAGTACTAACTTACCAGCACCATATTTTTCTATTAATTCAATTAATTTTTCTTCTTCCTTTGCATTCCACCTTCCTTTCTTTAAGCTAAAATGTAATCTTCTTAGATATCTAAAAGTAAAAGACAGATAATGGACACTTTAGAAGCTAAGATAGCTGTTTGCTCCTGCTCCTCATTTTCTACAAGCTAGTTATATCTTAAAAAAGCACAAGTTCTATTTTCTTCCTTTATTCTCTCTTAGGACTATATTCCTCTTTATTGCATTACTCTTAGTTATAATTTCTTCACTAAAAATCTAGACTCCAGGAAATAAGATCTACCTGATGTTACCTTTCCTGACCCACCCTAAGCAATATTTTAAAAGTATTGCCACAGCAAAGGGAACAGATTTCAATGACCCATCTACATTCTCTCATCCTGCATGTGATCAGCAGCGCATGGGAGAAAATTTGATGATGTCAGGAATTCAACTCTGGGGCTGGGTTTAAGGTCGCAACTCAGGGAAAAGGAGAAAAATTCACTAGAACAACAAGCAACTGTGATAGGAAGCCTAAAAAGAGATTCATCTATAAGACCAAGACAAAAACTGCATTCTATTCTCTGAAACAGGCTATTACAATAGTCCAAGCATGAAGTGATGAGCACCTGCCAATTTCAAGAGGAGAGAAGGGGGCATAACGGAGAGATGTTACAAAGGTTAAATTCAGGCCTTGGCAACAGCTTGGATATGGGGGATGAGAGTGAGGAATCTATGATGATCCCTAAGCTGTGAGTCTAAGAGACTGGGAGAATGCATTGCCCTCAAATGTAATAGGGAAGGTGGGGAGGGGTAAGGTTAGGAAGAAAGATAATGAGTTCTGTTTTGGACATGTCGAGTTTAAGACGACTACTGAATTTGTCTGAATTGTCTGATTTGTCTGAAAAGAAGCTAGAGATGCAAAACTGGAGTTCAGCACTATAATCTCAATATGATAAGCGAACAAGGACTCAAGAAAAGAAGACAGGACAGAGTTGTACTGATTCACCAAGGGGTTAAGTTAAGACAGGAAAAAGAGGCAAGAGTGGTTAGTGCAGGGGAGAAGGCCTAGGGGAAAAATGAGGTGTCAGGGTGTGAATGAAGAGTAGGGTTTGGTAAGGTAAGGCAGTGGAAGAGATGAAAAGCCCACAGATTATGGTCAGATAAGGAAATTTTGGAATTCTTGAACAGGGAGATGGCATATTTGTGGGTGATGGCAACATCAAGGATATGACCATCACTGCATGTGTGCTGAGGTGAGGTGGAGATCACGGAAAGTGAATAGGGTGAGGAACTGAGTGGTGAGAGTATTTAAGGGGCAGACAATACATACAATGAAGTGCCCAGGTATGAGAACAAGAGCTGGGGAGAAGAGAAAAATTATGAGTCAGGTACCAGACTCATTGAGGAAGGAAGGGGAGTCACCTGGGGGTCTCAAGACAACAGTTCCCAGCACCTACTATGTGCCAAGTATTGCATTTAGAGCCAGAGATACTAAGACAAACATACAATAATCTCTGTCTTCAAGAAGCTTACATTCATTTTATTGTGGGAGGGGGAAGAAAACACATTTGTAGAGAATTAAGTAAAACACATACAAAGTAATTACCAGGAGGCGAGCACCAGCCACTGGGACAGATTAAATCAGGCTTCCTGTAAGAGGCAACATTTGAGCTTAGCTTTGAAGGAATCTAGGGATTCTAAGTGAGGAAGAATATATTCCAGGTATGGTAGGGACAGCCTATGCAAAAACTCAAAGATGAAAGATGCAGTATTGTACACAGGGAGTAGCAAGCAGGCTTAGTTTGGAACAAATTGCAGGATGATGAAGAGTAATGCCAATCAACCTGGAATGGATGCATGTCACATCAAATTTCTACAGACTGATGAAAGGGAAAGAAGACCACGAACAACTTGGGTTTAAAAAGTTAACTCCTTTGGAAAAACTTGAAGCAGTTTCAGATAGATTATCTCATCTGCTCTGACAAGGGGAAGAGCAAGGCATGATTACTCAGTTCTCATGTGGGAAAACATAGGAGATAGCTGTTCTAGGGTCATTGTGCTCAATGCTGAGACTACACTGCCAAGTGAGCTTTAAATACTGTTCTCAGCCCAATTAAGAACCGTACACTTTGCCCAAAAATCATTCTATCAAAAAAATGAATTCTTAAGTCACCTCTCCAGTCAGTCTGTGACCTTAGCAAACATAGTTGAGCCAAGAAGGCTGGTGTTCTGAGGTGAGGCTCTATATCTAGTTCCAAGGAGGCAAGTTAAATGAAAATAAATAGCAATGGCTACTTTTAGGAATGCCATCTGACCAACTTTTCACGTCATGACCTTCTGCCTCCAATGGCAGCCATCTTCCCTTAACATTATCAAGAAATCACTTTGCCAATCTGGCCTCAGACACTTGACACTTACTAGCTGTGTGACCCTGGGCAAGTCACTTAACCCTGACTGACCACCTCGCCAAAAAGGAAAAAAAAACCCTATACAAGAAATCACTTTGCTACGAAGAAACAAACCCAGGCCCTCTGCTTCACATTGGATAATCTTCCTCATCTCTTGAAACAGGTTTAAATTAAACAACAACAGGCAGACTGAATTTGCTACAGAGCTCAGTCCAACTTACCGATCTCGACACTGGGCATCACTCCTACCTGGCACCTCTTCCCTAATTTTAAACCAATCACGTTCTCCATATTTGGCAACAGCTTGGAGTAATTTCTGAAAACAGGAATACATCAATCAAAAAGCAAATTCCCAATTTACCCATATTCAGTTTTCAGATCAATGGAAAGTGGTTTAGAAGAGGCTGGAAAAGCCAGAAAGAGCAGCAAAGACAGAATTAACTACTCAGACCAATGGTGTTAAACTCAAATAGAAACTCTAATGCTAAACCATAATACCAGAATCCCTGCACACACTGACTTACAAAATCACACATGAACATTGTCTATGTTTTATCGTGCTGCTATTTATTTCGTTAAATATGTCCCAATTACGCTTTAATCTGTTTGGGCTGCACTCGAGTGTGTTGTGAGCTACATACAGCCCACAGGCAACGTTTCTGACATCTCTGACTCACACGACACTCCAAGCGTAACTTTATGGAGGACAATCCAGCTTTGCCACAGAAAGGCCCCTGGAATCACGGATGGAATCAGCATACTGGCCTAAATAATTTTTCTGGCACAGAATGCATACAGGTATGCTGAAACGTGAGGAGGTGCTGGGTACAGACAACAGAGAATCAGGGTACAGGCAAGCTTACAGCATCTTCTTCCGGAGTCCAGAATCCTTTCTTCAAACTGGGATTTAAGCTCTTGGTCCAACGATAGATCAACTGCATTGAATCTCTACCCTCCATGTAGTAGACAACTAGGAATCAAGAATCTTTTGAAACAAATTCTGAAAAGCATATTTCTAGAGTGACAGCTGAAAGCAATTATCACGACTTGTGAAAAGATGCAACTTTCGCTTACGCACACTTTTCATTTATTTATTCAAACTCCATTAGTAAAAGAGCAATACTCATGAGGAACAATTTATGTCAAATAAAGGAGGCATCAGACTGTGTCAAGATGCAACATTTAAGACTCCCCCTAACTACAGACATTCAACAGCAGAATGCTACCTTGAGAAGAGAAGCAACAGACTTACTTTTCCGATAAGGGATGTGGCTTCCAACTCTCATTTCCTCAACTAGTTGTGTGAGCATGTGGTCTTCTTCTTTTGTCCACTCCTTCCGCTTCAAGTCTTTGTTATACTGTTGGTACATCTGGAGACACTGGAAGGCGCTCCGGTTGGTCTTTTGAAGGAACCCAAATAGAAAATGAAGAGGAAATGATTCCACACTTCGAGTCGAAGAGGAAAGAGGATATAGCATCCCCCTCTTACACTGCCTGCACCAATTCTCAAGAGCCCTTAACACTAAGTTTGGTGTGACTGACAAGGCAGTTGTATGAGGAGAGAGGACTAAGTAAAGGAATAGCAATTACCCAGATCCAGTTACACAAAAATGGTCAACAACTTCCTGACAAGTCATACAGTAACTTATATACATCAAATCATATTTAATCAATGACTGCCATTTTAAAACTGGAGACGTATTCCCAGGAGAAAAAATGCTGTGCCTGAGAATTGGGGGGGAAGGGGAGAGGGCACACAGGGAGACACCAACAAAAAAATCACTTAAGAACGTAGCATATTTTAAATTGCATCTAGGAAAAAGTTCTCTGATGCCTCCTTCTTGTGTTGAAGCGATTCTGAGTTCCTGAAAGCAGGACAGCAGAGGGCACGAGGTCTGATGGCTTCTACGAAGCTCTGAGCACGCTCCTAGTAGCAGACTAAGAACTAGTGCAAGCACAGGCTCGTCACCAGCAGGGTGGCGACTACCTTGGCTGTGTTCACTTTTGAAACTTCTGACAAAACATTAATATTCAATAGATCACAAAAGACCACTACCATACCACAAATTAAAAGAGTGAGAACCTTTCACACTTTTAGGCTAATACTACAGGAGATGAGACGCCCATGATGTATGTCATATGACCCTTTCAAACTTTCTAATTTGTGTAACAGCCCTCGTGTCTAACATGCAGCAGTTATAAGCACCTCCGAAGAGGATTTGTCTGATATCCCTTTGTATATTATTTGCATCCTATCTTTTGGCTTTAGGCCTGTCTGGTTCAGCTGTAATTTCCATTTTTGTAGTCTGTGAGCACCAGAATGCAATTATAATGAACTTTCTTTTTTAAGAAACCTGATCAATGAATGTAAAAATCATTTATATCCATCAGATGTCAATACAAGGATGCTTCTTTAAAACTGATTACTTCCTAACTTCTGCATGCCTTTCCTTTCAGGGAGTAAATCTTCAATGCAAAGCATTTTTTCTGCCCCTACATACCTCTGTATAGATCTTAAGAACTTTTTTAAGGTATGTGTGATATTACTGGCATCTACTTTTTTTTTTTGCAATCCTAATCCAGAGAAGAACAATGTGTTTGTGTAAGTTTGTTGCAGTTTTTATAGGTACACTGCTCCGTACTCCTCAAGAACTCCATGTCAAGAACTGAAAATATATTCTCTTAAGTTCTTTGAATAACAGAAATTAACAAACCATTCCTTTATACTGAGCTACTATTCTTTCTACTGCAACCTTCTACTAATTCCTACTATCTAACAACACTTTGAACCTTGTACATATCCACATATTTAATACAAACTCCTCTGCTTAGCATTTACAGCCCTCCTCAGTCTGGCTCGTCTCTACCCTTCCAGGCTGACCACACAGTACCATGCCTCTCAAGTACTCTATGCTTTCACCAAACTTGTTAACTGCTGTTTCCTTTACACGACATTCCATCATCTCTAGCATCAGTACCTCTGCAGGCTGGGAATGTATTCTCAATTTCACCTCTAGGAACCCCCAGCTCCCTTTAAGAAGTCCTTACTGATTCTCATTAGTCTCACCCTCCAAGCCCCTGCCAAAATCAATATGTATTTATTTCCTGTGTTTGCTTATCTGTTACCATGTAGTATCCCTGCAGTAGACTGTACGCTTCTTGAGGGCAGGAGCTGTCTCATGTTGATATCTGTATTCCCAGGACTTGGCCTAATAAATGCTTGCTGACTGACTGAAAAATAATGCGGTAGATGAAATGAATACAATCCCTCCACCTGGAAGTGTTTCACTTCTAAGTGTAAACAACCCCTTGACTACTAGAGAAAAAGATTACTCCTACTCAGTAAGTTTAAACCTACCAGTTCATAACCATCAGCTGAATATTCCACAGCCAAACTGCCCTTAAATCAAACCACATATGTGGGCTGCCCTCTAGTGGTAAAAACATAAACTGCTGGAGTCAAAGATTCCCAGAAGAAACCCATCTCTTCTCATGAAAATAGGGATTTAAGGAGCTGAGAAGAGGAAAGGAAAGTTTGCAAAGCGGAAATGAGCCTCCCCCCAATCCCTCAGCAAAGGCTTTTAAAAGATCAAGCAATTTGGTCTGTTTCAGGTTAGTCACAGAAGTTAATTGTTCCAACTGCTTCATTTTATAAATGTATAGAACCAGGAGTCATTCATCTTAATTTTAAAAAATATACTTCTCCAGATAACAAATATTAAGCTCCATCTTGCCCAAGGGCCACAGCTGTGGTGACCAAAGTGAGAACTTCTATATAAGAGAATAACTTTCATGGAACCAAAGGACTGTTGGGTCTTTGTATTTGCTCTTTCTTTCCTGTGACTCTGAACAGCACATGGCTCTAACCCTGCATTGAGTGATTCCCTGAGGATCACAAATTTTTAAGGTAAGGAAGTCAACATAACCTTCCCTGATGGTGCATTTAGTGTTCTGCACAATTCTTAGCACAAATATCTTCCTAATGTTTAACCTAAATCATCCTGGTGCAATTTTAGGCCATTGCCTCTTTTTCTGTCCTCACTGAATGAGAGCTCCTCCTTCCCAGGCCATTGCATTTCAAGAACAGAAGAAATAACTAAGGCAGGGTGGCTGGTCTCAGACAGCATTATAGAAATCATTCAAAGACAAAGGATTCTTTCCAAGCTGATATGGCCCTGTGCTTGCATGGATAGCATCTAACACTGAAGGCTAGCTAGCATGCTGAAGACATTTCTCACATTCAAAACACAATGCTGGCTTTAACAATTTGGAATTATGCCCAAGTAGTAAATAAACTGTGAATACCCTTACCACTGTATATCCCCATAGAGATCAAAGAAAGAGGAAAAGGGCCCAGATCTACAAAAATATTTACAAGTAGCTCTTTTTGTAGTAACAAAGAATTAGAAACTAAGGTGATGCCCATCAACTGGAAAACAGCTACATAAATTATAGTATACAAATGACCATGCAAAGACCATGATTCTAGAGAAGTGATGACGAACCATGCTATGTACTTTCCACCAGAGAGGTGATGGACTCAGGGTGTAGAATGAGACATTTAAAAAAATATTTAATATATTTATATTGGATATTTTTTAAAAGAAATTTTTGGCCTTTCTTTGTATCCCCAGCATTTAGCACAGTGTCTGGCACACGGTAGGTGCTTAATAAATGCTAGTTTACTTACTGACTGAACATGGCAAATGTGGGAATTTGTTTTGCATGACTACGAATATTTTGTTATTAAGAGTTTTCCCCCCAATGATGGGAAGGGTGGAAGAAAGAGAAAATTATTTTTGTAAATTGAAAAAAAAATTTAATTAAAAAAAACCAACCATCTGGCTTTAAGAAAAAGCATAAAGAGTATAAAATTTCCCTAAGGGCAAAGTGGCTTGTGCCCCGCATCAGTATCTGAGAGCAGGAGAAGGTCTATACATATCCCATATTGAAGAGAACAGCATACGCACTGCCCACATATGCACTACCTCTTTTGACTACACCATCTTTGGGGATATTTTTCTATTCCAATAGAAGGTCCTTGTCCTAGCAACCTGGAAGACATAGCAAGTTAGCAATACAGTAGAAAGTCAGCAGTATGGTAGAAAGCTTCCTTCTCCCTAATGACTAGCCCTATGAATTCTCCAGAGAAGTAACAATGGCAGTCTAGTCTGCTAGGACCACGATGTCAAGCGCCTTACCCCCAGCTCTGCTGCGATCTTCTGCCACTCCAAATAATTGTATTTTGCCGCAATCTCTTTCAGACGCTTGGTCTCTTCCTCAACCCATGCTTGCTTATTGATGCTTGGGTGTTCACAGTTCTGCCAGAATTTCCTAATCTCATCAGCACTTCGGCTGCCTTCAAACTGCACCAAAACAAAAGACTCTTTGTATAACATGGCCAAATTAATCTTTATGCCATTAACACTTGTGCACATGGTACTTGGAATAATACAAAGAAGGTTAACATAGACATGGTTTTTGTTTTTCAGAGGACTTCAATCCCAGTCTTCTCCATGGCAGTAATAAAGCAGGTGTCTGTTGTAGAGTTAATCACTATAAGTTGTTTAGTTCAGCACAGAGAAAAATCCAGGTTTCATTCCAACCACACAGACAGAAAATATGGTTCTATATAGTTATTTAATAAATGTATGTTATGGGTCAAGAAAGAGACTAGGTAAAAGGCCAGAACTAAATAGAAAATTTGACCTTCAAAAGCATAAAAAGGTAAATATGAAAGAGAATCATAAGGTACCCAATACAGTTAAAACGTGTACCATTCTATATGGGAAGATGATACATGTATCTTCTAAGAATTTTATCATTATTAGGACAGTTAGAATGATTCTCTATAAAAAGAAGGTATAGGAGTCAATTATGTTGGGATGATGTAAGAAAAAAATTGGATAAGAAAGAAAGAGAGATGCCCCTGGAGGGAAAAGGAAGAAAAAGAATGGGAAAATTGCCTCATACAAAAGAAGCATGCAAGGAAGAGTGCAAGGGAAAATACATAGTGTAAGGGAAAATGGGAGGGAAAAGATGCAGGCAATGCTTGAACCTCACTCACATCTAAATTGGTTCTAAAAGGGAAAATATATATACATACTCACTTCCTGAGTTCAAATCTGACCTCTGACAGTTACTAGCTCTGTGACCCTGGGCAAGTCACTTAACCCTGTTTCATTCAGTTCTTCATCTGTAAAATGAGCTAGAGAAGGAAGTAGCAAAACATTCCAGTATCTTTGCCAAGAAAAACCCAAATGGGGTTCTCCAAAGAATTGGACACGACTGAAAAATGACTGAATAATATGAAAATGTTTTGCATGACCTCAAATGTGAGGTCCTTTCCAACTTGGAGATCACATGATTCCACAAAGCACCATATGATGGCAAAAAGAAGTAACCTCCACCAGAGTATAATCAAAATCAAACTATTTGCCTTCTCAAAGAGGAGGGAAGGTTGGAAAAGAGAAAATCTGGAACTCAAAAAAAAAATACATTAAATTTTTTTTATATGTAATAGGGAAATATGAAATGATTTTTTTTTGGGGGGGGGTGATGAAATTGGGGTTAAATGACTTGCCTAGGGTCACATAGCTAGTAAGCCTCAAGCATCCGAGGCCAGATTTGAATTCAGGTCCTTCTGACTCCAGGGCTGGTTCTCTATTCACTGTGCCACCTACTTGCCCCCAAAATGAAAATAATTTCTTTTAAAAAAGAGAGAGACACTAGGCAAGGGAAGATGTCATCCCCATTACTGAAGACAAAATTAAAAGCTCATATTCTAGTGACACTGGGTCAGGACTATCACATATGCAAATAAGACAGCATATTTTCACAGTCTGAATCCACCAATAGCAATACTGCCAAATTTCCCTAGTTCTCATGATACAATGCTATTTTTTATCCTGGGGTGGCTTAAATTACATCATATCTACTCACATTAATGTTAGAGATCTTCTCCCAATCTCGCTCATCCAGTCTATCTCCCAACAAAGACTCTTCTGGCAGCTGACTATAGCAGGGGACAAAGGCAACATTATTAATTCTGGCATATCGATTACTATTTACAGGTAAAGAAATTAAGGCACAGTAAAGCTTCATCTCACTTGATGTCCTCAATTTCCTTCTCAGTGTTCTTTATTTGCTTCTCCAAGATCTGCTTCTCCATTGAGTTACTGACTTTTTCAAGTTTTTGATTTAAGTATTCAAGCCTGTTGAAGGATTAGACAAGATGATGAAGTGGGATTAAAAAGAAAGAGTTGGCAAGCTATGTTGTAACCTCTCTGGTGGAGGTTACTTCTTTTTGCCATCATATGGTGCTTTGTGGAATCATGTGATATCCAAGTTGGAAAGGATCTCACAGATCATCTAGTCCAGCTGTTCCCAAAGTATGGTCCCCAAGACATTTTCAGGAGGCTTGTGAGGTCAAAACTATTTTCACAGTAATACTAAGACACTATTTGCTGATTAAAATACACCTCCTTTTTCTAATACATGTGTAATAATGTGAAGCCAGGTTTTCTTCAGATACTTCAATCAAAACAACACACTGTAAAAGACTGAATGCAAAAGCAGATATGCTAAATCTAGCTGTCTTCTGTTAAGCCAAATATTAGAGATTTTCAAAAATATGTAAAACAATACTATTCTTTTCATTAAATTTTTTGTTTCAGAAACTTCAGTTTTTTTACATAAAAATTATTTATGTTAATGTGTAATGGGTTTATTATTGTTATTTTTAGATGAATTAACTATTTTTAAAATTTGTGAGTTTTAATTTCTAATATGGTAGCTACGAAAGATAAAACACATAAATGAAAGCTTTTTGGGGCCAATATTTTTAAAAAGACTAAAGGGTCCTAAGACCAAAAAGTCTGAGAATCACTAATCTAGTCTAACACACACGTGGAGCAGGAATGGTGTCTCCTACAACCACTAGCCTCTGTGTCCCAATGATTAAACAAGGTCATAAAATCCTTCTAGGACAGAGTAGTGAGAAGGCTACTTTTTGAAAATCTGCAGCTGCTTGCTGAAGTAAACTATAATTTTCAATTCAAAACAAATAAGAGATGCCAGAACTAAGTTCTCTCCATTACCATATTTCAACAGTTAACGTTTGACTCTTCTAAGTCACAAGAACTAACTGACAGGAGACATAAATTAGATCTTAGGTGTAATGAAGGTAGGATGTCAGTCTTCTAGCTTGGACTCCAATTTCCAAACTAGACTGAAAAGACATCCATTCATCATTTCATTTTTCTGATCCCAAACGCTGAATAAATAGCAGTGCACAGAGTAAAATTCGACACCTCTAACAATTGTTCGAATGCTCCAGAACATATAGTCTTTAATAGTTGGCTAGGTCTGTGTGCACAGGACCAAAGCATCAAGCTAGTCATCCCAGCTAGTTAAAAACACGGCCTTTATAGAGTATGAGTTTATGGTGTGACACATGAGATTTTTCTCTTTTCCCAAGCACTACACTTATCTAACACTTAACTAATTTCCCATATTTACACTGATCACAAATATTTCTTCAAAAGATTAGTTATATCAAGTCATCCAAAACCACTATGGGACAAGAAGTAAGAATCAGATGAATCACAAATTCCCTTGTGTCCTTTAGAGACCAGCAAAGGGAAGAGATAAGGTAAATTAGACTAGGTAATCCAATATTGGCTGGAAACTAAACAAACACATAAACATCTTACTTTAACAATTTGGGTTGGAGCAAACGTTGCAGGTGGTCACTCATCACTGACTTCCTAAGTAAAGTCTTTTCCCAAGTTTTCCCTGGGGAAAAAAAAACCAAGTATTATATATTTGGGCAATGACTTTGGAAAATGTGAGCTGATGAGGGATAGATGAGGAGGTCCCATCCCAGCTCTTACTATTTATAGCATTAGGCCAGTCTCAACAAAATCATGCTTTTCTTGAAGCATAAATCGTCCTCACCAAAGCAGGAAGAGACTAGATGAAAATAACCACTCCAACACCTTTGCCAAGAAAACTCCAAATGAGGGTCTGAAGAGCTGGACATGTCTGAAAACAACTGAACAGAGCAACAAAAATGCAACTGGGCTAACAGCGCCTGCACAGCTACAAGCAGAAGTACGTCAACAACTGCAGCGGTCTCCTGTGACGGTTACAGCACCTATCAGCTTGAGCCAACGCTCCAAAGAAAAACTTCAGGGAAGAGAACTAGCAGTACTGGTCTATTGGTGAAAGTAAGTTAAGCATAGTTCAGTCCCCAAGTAACCCCAAGCTCTTACATTTGGTCACAATCAGTTCTTCAAAAGACTTGATGCCCTGTGTTGCCTTTTCCCGAGTATCTTCATTGGCTGGAGGTCCCTGTTGGAAAATAGAGTGTAGGTCAGGACTAACCCAAGGAGTCAACACAGGCACATCTCAGGATCCCAAGCTAATGGTCGGTTTCCCTTCATTTGGAATGTCATAGGAGAGAACTGCTTTTCTTAAAAGCAAACATACAGTTTAACTTTCCCTAGCCATTGGCGGTGCCTCCATTATTTAGTCCCACCTAAGTAACACAGAGCATTTGGTCTGGATTAGATAAACCATCCCCACATAGCCCAACTAAGTTACGGTTGTTTTTTTATGAAAATACTGACTCCTTGTTACCAAAATTCCCAAACTCCAGACAATCCACTCACCACTGTGACTGAATTTTCCAGGTAAAACAAGCTCTAGGCAAGTCATTCACAAACAGTAGGTTCTAAAGTTGCATTAACACTAGGAAGACTTGGCTACTTCAAGGTGACTTAAAACATTTATGTGTAACTTTTTTTTTTTAAGGCAACAGGGGTTAAGTGACTTGCCCAGGGTCAGTCACACAGCTAGCAAGTATCAAGTGTTTTGGTCTGAGGCCGGATTTGAACTCAGGTACTCCTGACTTCAGGGCCGGTGCTCTATCCACTGCACCACCTAGCTGCCCCTATGTGTAACATTTTTAAGGTGAGATGAAGAGTTACGCTGGATTTCAACATGCTCATTAACAGAGATGAATGAAAAGGATATTCACATACAATAGTGATACTAAAAGAAAGAATTCATAAAATCTATATTCTTTTCACAGCCACACAAGAAGCACAAGTCACTCACAATTCCTGTGACTTTATCCTTGAAGTACGGTTTCATAAAATGACCCACAAAAACATTTGAAGGGAGGCTCTTTCCATCTTTGGTCTTTGGAGTTTTGGAACCAGCCAGATCCCACATGACTTCTTCCTGTGACATACAGATGGAAATTACTCAAAGTGGTTAATATGAAATCACTGGGACCAATCAAAACTGCTCTCGGGACCTAAATGAAATTCAATCAGTATTTATTTAGCATTTACTCCATGCCAGGTACTGGGGATACAAATACAAAGAAACAATCCCCGCTCTTGAGGAGCTTACATTCTAACAGGGGAGATGACAATTATATAAATAAGCATCCAGCAAATAAATATAAGGAGACTGAATACAAATAAATACAAAGTAGCTCAATACAAGATGGTTTGGGAAGGAGGGAAGCACTAGCAGTTGAGGAGATAAATAAAAAAGGCTTAGTTAGAAGGTGATGCTTGAACTGCGCTTTGAAGAGAATTCAACAAGGTAGTGGTAATGAGGGAACTGCATTCCAGGAATTAAGACAGGAGATGGAACAGTGTGAAGGACAGAGAAGCCATTTTGGCTGGACTGCAGAGTGGATATAATGAGGCTGGATATAATGGTATGATAATCATAAGGCCAAGTTGTGAAGGGCTTTAATAGAGGAGTTTACAGTTGATCCTAGAGGAAATAAGAAGCCACTGGAATTTACTGAGCAAGGGAGCAATATGGTCAGAAAATCATTTTGGCAGTTGTGAGGAAGATGAACTGAAACAGGGAGAGACGTGAAGCAAGGTGACCAATTAGGAGGCAGTTACAATAACCTAGACAAGAGGTAATAAGAGTCTAAACGAAGGTGGTAACTGTATGGGTATAGAGAAGGGGTGGGAATTGAAACATGTCATGGAGAAGAAATAGCAAGATATGATACCTGACTGGATGTGAGGAATCAAAGAAAATGTCAAGATTATGAACTGGGGAAAGGGAAGAATGGTGATGCCTTTGACAGAAACAGGGAAGTCTAAAAGATAAGTGGGTTTGGGCAGAAAGGTAATAAGTTCTGTTTTGCACATATAGTTTAAAAAACCAATAGACAATTAACTGGTGATACAGGACTGAAGCTTGGGAAACAGATCGAGACTGGACAGTGCTGGGCATCACTGGCATGCAGAGATCTTTTTTAAGCCACATGACTGGTACCATCAGATACAATTGCACTGGTAAGTATGGAAAAGACTGGAGAAGGTTTCACTTGGTTTAAAACTATCTGTAAAGTCAGGAATATATCCACCCATCAACAGCAGCCATACCTGTTGTTCTTTATTCTGAGCCAGCAGTAAGTCAATTTCTGCTATTTTCTCCTGAAGGACTTCCTGATATACCATGTTCAACTGTAAACAGGTCTCTGGGTCTTTGGGAAGGGCTTGGTCCTTTGAGTCATCTTCATCGCTTTCTGCCCAGCTTTCTTCTTCCTGATTAAAAGCAGAAAATCATGTGCAGGAAAATGAAACATAGCCCCCTCTGAACACAGTCCTAACTTCTGACAAGCTCCTCTTCCTGAATCAAATCAATACCCTATCTTTCCTCCTGTGGTTGCTTTTGTTAACAGGATTTTACTGAGCCAGTCTTTAATCTGAGAATGATAAAACAGCAGGCCAAAGACAAAGTGCCAGTATTTAGGTAGCCATTTAATTAATTAGTTTTGTTATGAGGAACAGATTTGCAAACTGGAAATTCTCCTGATCAGAATTCCACCTTGCTGAAGTGAAGACAGAGATTATATGCATAAATCACAAGTGGGAAGGGAGAGGGGAAGGTGGATGACAAACACTCATTTCCAGGGCTTGAGCAGTTTCCCATGACAAGCCCCCAAGGGGAAGACAATGCAACAATTTTGAAGTCCTGTAGGGGCAATACTGCTGAAGTCATTGGGGGCTGTTTCTTGGTGGGCCACAGGACCAGAGTTCTGTGATAGGAACACGTCCTACAGCCTGATTTGCTTCACTTAAGGTACTATACAGGCACAAGAATGAGAGCACTGTCAAGCTAAATTGTAACTGACTCACAAGAGACGCGATTCTGAAAAATCTAATCCATTAGTATATCCATTACACACATAGATTATTATAAAAATCATAATTTCCTTCATACTTTCTGTAACTGTTTTATAGAGCAGTACCTTTAAGACATGCCTAATACTGAATGTTTTCAGCCCACTCTTAAAGAATCACAGAATCTTAGAACTGGAAGTGATCTCAGATGTCATCTAATTCAATCCCCACCCAAAGCATGAATGCCTTCCATAATGTATCTTACAAGTGACCACCTAATTTCTATCTGAACATCTCCAAGATGCTTCCTCCTCCCAAGGAAGTCACCATATTAATTTCCCAGTAGCTGTCATACAAAACAGGCTTTCCTTATAATTCCAGCTCTGGCTCTTTCACTACATGAAGGCCTTCTTCAACCAGGGGTCTACACCCAGCAGGAAAATTAGAAAGTAGATTCCAGGTGGTAATATGAATTCCAACAGATTTTAATATACTCTCATCACAGAAGGTCACCTAGTCGAATCCCTAACAGGTCTACCAACCCAAATTTTAATTGGGCTGGAAGCAGAGACCTTAGTGTAGCATTCTAGCCAAACAATAGCTACATTTTTTGGTTAAGTCATGTTTGTTATCACCTGTACCACAGGTTGCCAGATACAAACTTAGAATTAGTTCACATGCTGCCCAAATTTTTAAAGGACTCAAAAGCAACTTAGCAAGTTGTTGTATGGCATCTTTATAAATTGAATTGAACAAGAGATAACCAAAACATGGAAGCTGAAAAATACTGCCCACTTCGGAATGAATGGGTGTTTATAGTGAGACATAGGACACTCTGGCCACCCTGGGAAAATACTGGAGTCCCAAGTATTTTAAAGATGCAGACTTACTGAAATCTGAAGATTCTTTCTCCTATTTCATTCACCCCACGATCTCTATCTCTCAAAAGCATTTACATTTGCACAAATTCTCCCTCCCTGAAGATTCCTGACAAGCCCAAGCTGATTCTAGAACACTCTGCCTCTTTCCTCTCTAATGACCCAGAGGACATCATCATTTGACAACGGGTAAGACAGTTAGGTTACCATAGGAACGTGTTCATCCCAGTCATCATCTCCCAGGGAATCTATTAGGAATGCAAGTAAAGAATTTAAGTGAATGAATAGTAAAAACATGACATACTGCAAAGTAATATGCCTTACTTGGATAAGGTGTTTTTCTACACCCTCTAATCATGCATTTTTAAAAAAATTAATACATATATTAGAATCACATCATGATCACAGGCATAGTTAAGTCATTAAGGGCAGGGATGTGTCTAATTTATTCTATGAATCCCCAGTGTCCAGCAAGTACTCTGTATTATATATAATAGGTACCTAATACAAGTTTTGGGGTAGCTAAGTGGTACAGTGGATAGAGTGCTGAGCCTGGAGTCAGGAAGACTCATCTTCCCAAGTTCAAATCTGGCCTCAGACACTTACTAGCTGTGTGACCCTGGGCAAGTCACTTAATCCCCTTTGCCATAGTTTCCTCATCCGTAAAATAAGCTAGAGAAGGAAATGGCAAACCACTCTGGTATTTTTGCCAAGAATACCCCAAAATGGGGTCTCAGAAAGTTGAACTGAAACAACTGAGTGACAACAAAATACAAATTTCATCAATCAATTAACAAGCAATTAGTAAAACAAGCACTTACAATATTCCAGGAACTGTGTAAAATGCTGGGGATACAAACACAAATGTTAAAGAGTCCCTGTTCTCAAGAAGCTTACATTCCTTTAGGGAAAATATACAAAATGAATACAAAGTAGTTTGGGGAGTATACTAACAGGTAGTTGGGCAGGAAGAAGGAAAAAGAAATCAGGAAAGGATTCATGAAGTGGATGCCCAAGCTGAATCTTAAAGGAAACCCAGGATTCCAAGAGGCAGAGACAAGGAGGAAACATATTCTAAGCACAGAAGAAAGTAAGTATAAAGGTGTGGAGACCGGAAGTGAAGCATCATGGGTACAGAGTAGTTAGGAGGCCAGTGATATCTGGATCACAGAGTACATATCGAGGAGTAGAGTGAGTGTGAGTGAGAGTGTGTGTGTGTGTGTGTGTGTGTGTGTGTGTGTGTGTGAGCCAGGCCGTAAAGAGCTTTAAATGTCAGGAATTTACAGTTGGTCCTAGAAACAAACGAGAACTTCCGGAGTCGACTGTGTAGAAAGAGTGACATGAGGAGACTCGCGCTTTAGAAAACCATTCTGGTAGCTGTGATAGTCTGGAGGGGAGAACACAGGAAACAAGAAGACCGCTGTCATAGTCCAGGCATGAGGTGATAAGGGTCTGAATTAAAGCAGTAGCTTTCGAGTACAAAGAAAGGGACATAGTCAAGGGATGTTGTGCAGAGAAATGACAAGATTTAGCAACTGACTAGATACGTCTGATAGTGAGAATGAGCTGGCATTTATCTATATAGTACTTTAAAGTTTGCGAAGCACTTTTACTCATGTTATCTCATTTGATCCTCACAACAACCCCATGAAGTAAGTGCTATTATTATTCCAATTTTACAGAGGAGGAAACTGAGGCCAAGGAACATTAAGTGAACAATTTGTCCGAGGTCACAGTTACTAAGCACTTGAGGCAGGATTTGAACTCAGGTCTTCCTGACTCCCAAGTCTAACATTCGATCCACTATACAACCTAGGTTTCGCACATGGTGAATCAAATTACAAACTTCTGGAATCAGCAAAGGGCTTATGTTTTAGAGCTCACTCCTGTGACAGGTGGTAAGAGGGTTTGCTCACAGCAGGCACTCAATACACAGGCTACCTGACATGCAAAACCTACATGATTTTCTATTATCCTTTAAGGTTAAGGGACCTGCTCAGTGAAGACAGCTTAGGCACAGAACTACCTTATTAACTATGCACCTAGGTTCAAGCCCTAAAGCCTTCTAGATGCAAGCAGCAATGATCAATAATCTCACTCCTAAGGAAAGAGGAACAGTTTGTCTTTCCTTTCTCCCCCCTTGGTTAAAGGATGTGGTCACAGTAAATAGAAACAGCTACTAAATTTGAAAACATCTGAATCTTGAAATATGGTGTTGTTATCAAGGTCATTTTAGCCAAAGCATGTCATTTTTTTTTAAGTAAAAAAGGATCCAAAGCTACACAATCATAGTTTAAAAGCAATCTGCCCAAAAGTAATCATAAAGATAGACTTATCTGAAAGCCCAAAGGAAGCCCTCAACTTTGTACCTTGAAGGAGTGTATCAGTGTGGACTATAGATTGGCAGAGATAGTCTTTAAGGTTCTTCAGAATTCTAAATCTATATGCCTATGATCTATGATGGGCAGCTAGGTGGCACAGTGGATAGAGTGTTGAACCTGGAATCAGGAAGATTCTTCTTCCTGAGTTCAAATCTGGCCTCAGACACTTACTACCTGTGTGACCCTGGGCAAAGTCATTTAACCCTATTTGCCTCAGTTTCCTCATCTGTAAAATGAGCAGGAGTAGGACACGGCAAAGGACTCCAGTATCTTTGCCAAGAAAACCCAAATAGGGGTCCAACATAACCAAAACCACTGTACGACAACAGATAATCTATGACAAAAAGAAAGTCAGATATAAACTCACCTCCTTCTGAATTAGAATCAAGATTCGAATCGGAGACAACGACTTCAATTGTTGCAATGTTAGGATCCAAAATCCTTTCTAGATTCTTGATTTGTTTTGTGATCTTCTCTCTTTCTGCGTCTAAATCCATGTCTGACATAACTTTGGCCTGCCCTAAAAATATAATAGACATTAATATTAACACAAAGTCAAATTAATTTCTTAATCTGAGATGAATGTGGCTAAAATATATTTTTAGATGGGACAACTTTACTTTAACAATGACTCTCCATTATCTTTCATAAAAAAAAATTAAAATTAATGTAGTATAACACCATTACCAACAAATTGTAACAATGTGGTCCCTGTCTACTTTGAACTTAATTCAATACTTCAAGGACTTACTGATTTCATCAGTGTGGGTATTCCCTCCAGCCACACAGATCACAACCCCTCTGTGAGAGCAGATAGTCTTTGAAAATTGCAGCCCACTAATGCGCTGTTTAGTTTTGAACTGGTCCAACCAGCAGTTTGGAACTATGTGTTCAATATGCACGGGCACATTTGACCCAGTGATACAACTAGTAGGCTTAGTAAGAGATCAAAGAGATCAACGAAAGAAAAATACTCACGTCTATAAAAAATATTTATAGTAGCTCATTTTTTTTTAGGAGTAAAAACTGGAAATAAAGGGGTTCCCATCAGCTGAAGAATGGCTAAACAAATTATGGCATATGAATGTAATGGAATATTATGGTGCCATGAAGATGAAATGGATAGTTTTGAAAGCCCTATATAGACTAATTCAAAATAAAGTGAGCAGAATGAGGACAATAACTACTTTATAAAGAAAAACAAATCTGAAAGACTTGAGAACACTGATCAATACAACGACAAACCACAATTTTCTAGAGGACTGAAGATGAGCTTGTTCTCCACCTCCTGCCAGAGCCCAGAGATGGGCTCAAGATGTAGAATGAGACATATATTTTTAGACATGGGCAACATGAGAATTGGCTTTGCTTGAGTATGCATATTTGTTGGGAGAGTATTCTTTTTCTTCCTCTAAAAAAAGTTTAAGTCTAAAAAAAGATGGAGGGGATGAAGAGGAAGAAAAAACCAAATGCTTGTGAAATGAACAAAATAATAAAGTTGTAATCATCATGTGGCCAGCCCAGAGATGAGCCACTCCAAACTTACTCCTCTCACATTAAACTCTTACTTCTAATCTCAACACAATGCTGCCCACTCAAACCTTGACTAAGACCACCACCCTCTAAGCCTCCTTTCCCCTCTAACAAATTCCTACCAAAGTCTTCCTTTATAGTTGGCAGAAACCAAACTTTTTGGGCTCACTCCACTTTCTTATCTGCTGCTCTGCCTGGTTTCAACTTCAGGCAACAAGATGCCCCAAGCTGGGTACCAACTCCATTGTGTCCTCCTTCCTACTTTTCCTGCCTCCTTTTGTGTGTTGTGTCCCCCCAGTGAATGTCTTCCTTTTTATTATATCCCCAGCACTTAACACAGTGCTTGGCACATATTTGAAACTTAATAAATATTGAATTGGATTAGAAAAGGAATGATCAATCGAATATAATCCATTATTAGTTCTGACACAAAAATGGCACAGAGAAAGCAGTGACTTGCTTGAGCTCTCCCCCAAACCCCTCCAAATACCTATAAAAAATGGCTCTAAACAAATTCTAAAGCAGCAGAACCCACAAAAAGACAGAGTGAAGGAAATTTCCAGCCCAATACAACTTGGATGGTTGATCAGAAAGGTATATCACGCTGGGCTGACAGAGAAGCGCAGCACGGCGTGGGTGCACAGGCCGCAGTGAACCTGGAGCAGGCCTCAGAGGACTGAGGTGTGGTGGATTCCAGACCTCTCAACCCACAAACGCCAAAGACAACTTAGAAGGTCAGTGGGAAAAGTCTACCTCTGTGGTGCTGAGAGAGAAGGGAGGGGTTCCAGCCCCATTCCCTGATTTTGTCCCCTGGGTGGTGGCTACTGCCTCCTGAGCTTCCAGCCCACAGACTGAGAGGGGAATTGAGTGGCTGATCAGAGGGGGGGACTACAGGGATCTCTTTGCTGGCTTTGCCCATGCTTGGATCTGGGTCACAGTTCTGGGTGGTGGTCCTAGGGCAAGGAGGAGCGCTAGCATGGTGGAGCTTGTAATGGCTGGGGAGAGGAAATTTTCCTCACAGTTCCAAGACAGAAAAGACTGCTTATGGTCACTCATAGACAGGCCAGGAAAGAAGTAAACACCTTGCCCCTTATCATACCACCTTGGAAGAGCTGAAAATTTACAGATCCCTAGAAGTATTTCTGAAAACAGCTGAACAAACCCCCAAAGTTTGGGATAGTACACTCTCCACACTGGAAGCAGACTCTTACCTTAACAAAGAGTTTAAAACTCAAGTAATTGGCTGGGATCATGAGCAAGTAGCGCAAAAAGAGTCAGACTACATTATCTTACTTTGGTGACAAAGAAGATCAAAACATACAACCAGAAGAAGACAACAAAGTCAAAGCTCCTACATCCAAAGCCTCCAAGAAAAATATGAATCAGTCCCAGGCCTTGGAAGAGCTCAAAAGGGATTTTGAGAAGCAAGTAAGAGAAGTAGAGGAAAAACTGGGAAGAGAAATGAGAGTGATGCAAGAAAATCATGAAAAACAAGTCAACAGCTTGCTAAAGGAGACCCAAAAAAATACTGAAGAAAACAACACCTTAAAAAATAGCCTAACCCAAATGGCAAAAGAGGTCCAAAAAGCCAATGAAGAGAAGAATGCCCTAAAAAGAAAAATTAGCCAAATGGAAAAGGAAGTCCAAAAGATTACTGAAGAAAATATTTCCTTAAAAATTAGAATAGAGCAATTGGAAGCTAGTGACTTTATGAGAAATCAAGACACTGTAAAACAAATCCAAAAGAATGAAAAAATAGAAGAGAATGTGAAATATCTCATTGGAAAAACAACTGACCTGGAAAATAGATCCAGAGAGAGAATTTAAAAATTATTGGGCTATCTGAAAGCCATGATCAAAAAAAGAGCCTAGACATCATCTTTCAAGAAATTATCAAGGAAAACTGCCCTGATATTTTAGAACCAGAGGGCAAAATAGAAATTGAAAGAATCCACCGATCTCTCCTGAAAGAGATCCCCAAAGGAAAACTCCTAGGAATATTGTAGCCAAATTCCAGAGTTCCCAGGTCAAGGAGAAAATATTACAAGCAGCCAGAAAGAAACAATTCAAGTACTGTGGAAACACAATCAGGATAACACAAGATTTAGCAGCTTCTACATTAAAGGACTGCAGGGCATGGAATATAATATTCCAGAGGGCAAAGGAGATAGGATTACAACCAAGAATCACCTACCCAGCAAAACTAAGTATAAACCTTCAGGGGAAAAAATGGCCATTCAGTGAAAAAGAGGACTTTCAAGCATTCTTGATGAAAAGACCTGAGCTGAATGAAAATTTGACTTTCAAATACAAGACTCAAGTGGAACATGAGGAGGTTAACAGGAAAGAAAAATCATAAGAGACTTATTAAGGTTGAACTGTTTACATTCCTCCATGGAAAGATGATATTTATAACTCATGAGACCTTTGTCAGTATTAGGGTAGTTGGAGGGAAAAATTATATGTATGTATGTATACAGATAGATAGATAGATAGATAGATAGATAGATAGATAGATAGAGGGCACAGGATGAGTTGAAGATGAAGGGGCCATATCTGGAGAATAAAATTAAGGGATGAGAGAGGATTATACTGGGAGAAAGAGAAAGGGAGAGGTAAAATGGGGTAAATTATCTCACACACACAAAAAAGAAAAGAAAAGGCTCTTACAGTGGAGGGGAAACAAGGGAAGGTAAGGGGGAATGAGTGAATCCTATTCTCATAGGATTTGGCTTAAGGAGAGAATAACAAATACGCTAATGGATATGGAAATCTGTCTCACCCTACAGGAAAATGGGGGGGGGACGACAAGAGAGCAGGAGGGATGATAGAGAGGAGGGCAGATTGGGAAAGGGGGTAATCAGAAGCAAATACTTCTGAGGAGGGACAGGGTCAAAAGAATAAATGGGGGGGCAGAATAGGATTAAGGGAAATACAGTTAGTTTTTCACAGTATGTCTACTATGGAAGTGTTTTGCATAACTGCACATGTATAACCTATATTGAGTTGCTTGTCTTTTCAATGAGGGTGGGTGGGGAGGGAGGAAGGGAGAAAATTTGGAACCCAAAGTTTTAAAAACATATGTTTAAAAAATGCTTTCACATGCAACCGGGAAATAAGAAATATAGGAAATGGGGTACAGAAATCTATCCTGCCCTACAGGAAAACAGAAGGGGAAGGGGATAAGAGAAGGGGGGGGAGAGATAGAAGAGAGGGCAGACTAGGGGAAGGGGTATTCAGAATGCATGCCATCTTGGGGTGGGGGGAGGGGTGAGATGGAATGAAAATTTGGAACTCAAAATCTTGTGGAAGTAAATGTTGAAAACTAAAAATAAATAAATTTATATTAAACAAAAAAAAAGCAACTTCTCTTAATAACATATTTCACTTGGTCTCTCTCCAAGTTCTTCCAAAATCAACAGGATGAATACATAGACTTTAAGCTCCTTTAAGGTAAGGATTATATATTATTTCATCTTTATCTTCCGATGTCACATGAACAGAAAGAATTTAATAAACTTCTACTAAAAAGACCCATCCTTGGTTTTCCCAAGTAACAGAAAGAACATTGTCAACCATAATTAGTGCTACCAGGGTCCCAATATCCTTCAAGGACTCATAATAGGGGCTTGGACCTCTGTTATTACCTCTAGATCTTGCATAGTACTTTTTTGTACCGCTCCTAAGGACTGTTTTTTGATTAGACTTGTGACTTCACCAATACAGGAAACTCCCAAGTGAAAAAACACACTCTACCAATGCAGATGGGAAGCTGGTCTGCAATTTATACTCTTAAAAATCTGCCTGTGGTACAGAGAGGTTAAGTGATTTTGCCCAGTATCATATAGCTAGTCACACATCAGAGGTGGGACTTGAACCCTGGTCTTCCTGACTCCTGGGTCAGCTCTCTATCCACTAAGCCAAGTTACCTTCCAAGGGCTTATCTTATTCTGTCCAATTTTATATTACGTGTACTTCTGAGTCTAATCTACCGGTAAGTAAGCTCCATGAGCAAAGGACATTAGGGCAAAAAAATAAAGTCTAGTCACTGCCCTAATAAAGATAACAATGTAATCAAGAACAACAAATGACTTACTCTAGCAGAGTGATAGGAGGATGGGACTTAGTCAGATGTGTATTCTAGTGCCAACTCTAAGGAGTGGTAGTGGTGTGACCTTGGACAAATTGTCTTCTCCCTCTTGGCCTCAGTTTCACTGTTCCCCAAAAGGGGATAATATTTATACTCCTTGACCTCCCAGGTCAGTAAAGTGAGATAAGAGACGTAAGCACGCTTTGTAACTGTAAGGTACTTCATAAATGAGCTGTTAATTTGCATTTGCTACAAGCTTTTAAAATACACTAATAATAATTTTTAAAAATTTAAGCTAGAAGTATTTCCTTGTGGAAAATATCATAGAACTAATTTAAATATTATATAGGCATTTCCATGTTCATTAACTAAATTTTTTTAAATGAAAAGGTCCATCCATTTCCTTAAGAGCAGGGACTGTTACATTTTTGTATTTTTAACTTCAGCACATACTAAAGGGCCTGGCACATAGTAAAACGGTGCTCAAAAATGCTTCTTGATTGAATTGGGGGGGAAAAAGTATGTGGACCAATCCTCTCAGACTAAACATTGTGGTGAGCTACTATTGAGAAGGGAACAAGTATAACTGCAAGAATTATGTCCCAGGAGTCAGGAGTCTAAGACACTAGTACTGATTCTCTGCCTTTAGACAAGTCACTACTCCAATATGGATCTGGGTTAATCTACATAAAATGAAAATAATCCTGGGCCCTCTTCTCTCCCTTTGTACTTTTTCTCTTGGTGAACTCAATAGCACTCAGAGATTCAATGATCAATTCTATGCAAATAAGACCTATTTATGCAACCCTAATCTCTCTCCTGACCTCCATTCTCACATTTTCAACTGCCTATTGGACATGTCAAAATAGATACCTTGTAGACAGGCTCTCAATCCGTCCCAAAGTGAACTCATTTCTTTTCCCCCAAAATCTCCCTTTTCCTAACTTTATTATTACCATCCTTTACTATTACTGTGGAGAGCATCATTATCTTACAACACACCAAGGCTCACAATCTAGGTGTCATCACTCCTCTTACTCCTCATAACCAACCTATTGCCAAGTCCTCTCTACATTAGTACCTTCTCTCCTCTGACACTGCCACCAGACTGGTGAAGCACCTCATCATCTCATGCCTGGAACTGCAACAGCCTTCTGGACGATCAGCCTGCCACAAGTCGCTCATTACTCCAATCCATTTGCCACTTGGCTGTCAGACTGATCTTCCTAAAGTGCAGGTCTAACTATCACCACTTCTCCCCTCCTCTACATTCAATAAACAACCGTGGCTCTCAATTACAGGATCAAAGCCATTCCTACCTCTCCGGTCTCCTTACTCCTACTTTGCTATCTAAGGACATTGGCCTTGTTATTTCTTGGACAAGACACTTCATCTTCTTACTCCTGGAATTTTCGATGATGGCTCCCCATGCCTGGAATTCTTTCCCTTTTCAACTCAGCCTCCTTTCAAGTTTCAACCAAAATCCTACCTTCTGCAAGAAGCCCAGGCTGATTTCACTTAATGCCACTGCCGTTCTTCTGTTGATTATCTCCGAGTCAGCCTGTACATCTCATTTATACACAGTTGTTTTCTGCCCTGTTAGCATGTGAGCTTTTTGAAGGAAGGGCAGGGACGGTTTTTTGCCTTTCTTTGTATCCCTAGTGCGTGGCATACTGCAGACGTTTATAAATGCTTGTTGATTTTACTTGATTTGTTAACTTAAATCAAGGTAAGGGATCATGTCACACTTCATGTTCCTTGCCCATGAAAACGACAACGTAACTCTAGCACCTTTTAAGGTTTATAAAATGCTTTCCTCTCAACCCCTCGTGGTAGGTAGTACAAATACCTCCATTCTGCAGATGAGGAAACTAAGGTTCTGAGAGAAGTGACTAGCCCATGGTCACATTATGAAAGAGAGCTGAACCTTAGGAATCGTGGGTTCGAGTTCTGGCTTTGTTACTTGCATGTGACTTGGGGGAAATCTCTCCCCTCGGAGCATTTTAATCTGCTGCAAATTGCCTCCAACCTCCATCTCAGGCCTCCTTCCTCCTCTCCGCCTGGGCCTCCTCCTCTTCACCTCGCTATTCACCCACCCCAAACATTTATTCCGCTTTCGTCGCCTTCCCGTCTCGCCCCAAGGTCCTCTTCCCCCCGTCCCATCACCCCCATCCAGTCCCGCCACCTTACAGCGCCACTGCTCACCTTCCAGCGCCAGGCGAGCCCGAAGAAGGAGCCTGGCTAACGGTCTTCCGGCTTGGAGCGGAAACCCCCTCCCCGTACCGGAACACCCGCTCCCGGCTGCGGAGGGGCGGGGCTGAGGTCCGCGGGGCCGTGGGACGCCGGGGAAGAGGGGGAGGAGCAAACTCGGACGCTGAGAGCTGGTGGGAGCCTAAGGCAAGCCTCCTCCAAAGTAGAGCCTTTGTGTTCACCGAGGGAGGCCCAGGCCCGTCAAGTCGCTGCTCACACCGCCCGCCCAGGCCGGCCGCTTCCCATCGCCGCGGGGCGGGCGTGCCCGGGAGGTCGCGCGTGTCCTCGTGCCTGCCACACTGGTCACTTGAAGAGGCCGCCTCGGGCGGGCCCAGAGAGCTGGCCTCAAGTCCTTGGGACTTTTCAGTTTGTGTCTGGCTGTGACGTCCCCCGGATGTGTGGCCCTGGGCACCGCACCTCCCCTTTCCCTGCTTAGGGCTCCAGGTTCTGGAGCAAATGCTGACTTAATTAGTCCAGGGCTTTTCCTCCCCTGGGAGCTCTCCCTGAACCACTGAATTCACAATCCAGGCTTTATCCCCCGAACGTGAGGGGGGCCTTCTTCACAAGCCCGTGAGATCGGGAAGCAGCGCTTCCTTTAATTCTGATGAAGAAAAGCCCTCAGCCACTCAGCCAGTGGTGCAGCCAGGTCTTAGGTCTTCAGCCCTCGGAAGCCAAAGCCTCCCACAGCACCCGCCTAGCTAATCTTAGGCTTCTGAGCCTGAGGGGGAGGAAGTCTAACACTTAAATACTTCAACAAGTATAATTTCAATAGTTTAGGTACTACTATTCCTTTAGCAATAGAGTGTAACTATTATATAATTCAGTGGTCTTGGGGAGCTTCTGTGGCTGAAAATTATTCACCCTGCGACCATTCTTGTCCATGAGCCTTTCCAAACCGAACTGGATTGGTGCTGGAACCGGAGACTTGTAGTTCACCACTGGGCTCTTATCCCCAACACTTTCCAGCTTGATAAAATCGCTGCCACTTATGCCACAGCCTTCAAGAACTCTGGATCACCTCCATGCTATCCATTTTGGGTCATTAGAGTAGGACTTAAGTGGAGAGAAAGGAAAATGTGGAAAGGTTAATAATAAAATGCAAGCTTGGAGAGTTGAAAAAATATTAATACTAATACTATGAGACTTAGGCTTAAGTCTTCTAGAAATAATTTAATTTAACATTAATCTATATCTGAGAATTTTCTAATTTGGAGAAATGTCCAATCTGGCATAGTCTCCAACATCCTCCAAAAGGACTGCCCCAAGATTTCAAGTAACACAGGAATCTTGTGCTAGGAAAAGATATCATAAAATACATCCTGGGTTAACATTCCAGAATCGGGTAAACAAGTTTTACTATCCCATTCCTCCTGGACCACTGCCCTTTTTGTTCACTCATGTCTGACTCTTTGTGACTCCATTTAGGGTTTTCTTGGCAAAGATACTTGGAGTGGTTTTCCATCTCTTAACTCATTTTACAAATGAGAAAACTGAGGCAAACAAGGTTAAGTGACTTGCTCAGGGTCACACAGCTAGTTGTCTGCGGTCACATTTGAACTCAGGTCTTTCTGACTCCAGGCCAAGCACTCTATCTCCCTAGCTGCCCAACCACAGCCCTTACTCCTGGAATTAAACTAAGTGACCTGTTTCATTCCATAGACGCTGGAATCCTTTCCAAATGAAGATTGGGTACTAACCATCTATCACACAGGTAAATCGGAGACTGCCCACAGAAGAGTCAGTGATCAAAATACTTCAGGGGGAGGAAAGGCAATGATTGTAAAGATTAGCATCTATTCTTTGTTTAAAAGATTTGGTACCTCCTTTAATCCATTTCCCTAGGAAAAGGTAGTTCATCCTGATCTATCATCCACCTTTCCAAGGGGCAATTTCCTGGAAATCAGGAGAGGGAAATAGTACTTTTTGACATTTTCAGTTTTACTGTAGACAGTTTCAAATATGTTACTACAGGGGTCAAATTCTTTTGGGATTAGAACGATGAGGTTCCTGAGAGAGAAGGGAAATCTAATATCCAAAGTGGATATACTTGGGAGCCAGAAAGATGTGGTTTCAGATTCCAAAGCTGACGCTTTGATAACAGAATTTATCACTTAACTAGTAAGTAGCAAAGCTAAGTTGGAATCCAGGACCTCTAACCCTAAATCAAGCATTTCCTTCCTTAATATAGTTTCCTAGTTGAGCTTCCCAGAAGTTTTAGGACAGGTCCTTCTGGTTCTTCCTATGGGATGTGGCCAGAAGCTATCGCAACAGTTTTCAAGAGGTGCTTAATAAATACTTGATTGGTGGTAATTTGTCTCTGAAATCAGCTGACTGCTTGGGTTAGGAAGGAAAGGGGAAATTAGTACTTGGTGTCGATGAGGCCCAGTTAAAAAACAATTCTATATTTACCATAACTACTCATCTCTTGTTAAATGTATCCCAGTAATTCCTGCCTACAGCTACAAGAAAGCCTGTGAGCCTGAAGGTATGTCTTTGAAGTAAGATAACTAAAGAGAAGAGACATCCCATTACCATTATACTGCAGGACATTCTTAGAAAAAACACTATCTGATTAGAAGCAGTATGTGGCAACCATATGATAAAGACTTACTTTGTAGCCCTTCACACTGTCTCATTCTATCAGTAAGAAGACAGTGTAAATAGCATAGGTACTATATACCCTTTTACAAATGGGCAGAGTCCAAGAAGTTAAAAGTATATCATCTAAGATGGAACTTTTTAGAACTCAAGTCTCCTAGACTCTCTGGTTCAGTGCTTTTTCCACTAGAACACACTGTCAGAGACAGAAGTCCACTTTGATAACAGAAGCAGTAGATTATATTTTAACAGTTGTATCCATCATGTTAAGGTAGCCTATACTCTGTATTCAGCAGTCAGTGTACTTTGACTAGCATTTCTGTAAGCCAAAATTATAATGCCTAGCAGTAGTGGGTATGTATGCTGTGCATTTTACACATTATTTTGTTTGAAACCCAATTTCTTTACTTCCATAAGACCAATCTGATCTGCCAGAATCAAAGTGCAAAAAGCTGGATACAGCACAGTGCTAATAAGGTCACCATCTTGGATTAGACATTCCCATGTGGGCCAGTTAGCTTCACTATTCTTTTTTTTTGTGAATGTTTAGTTTTTTCCCTCTATTTATTTTTAGTTTTCAACATTCACTTCCACAACATTTTGAGTTCCAAATTTTCTCCCCATCTCGTACCTCCCCCGAGTGCATTCTGAATAAGCTTCACTATTTGATAAGCAGACTGTATTTCTAGTCCCAGACAGCTGTCTTGCTGATTCACCTTGCTGGTCCCAAGCATCAGACAAACTCACAGTTAGTTAAAATCAATCAATCAATCAGTGAATCAACTGAAAGTAAATGCCCTTCTAGTGATGAAGTAGTAGCAATGTTTGAACATGAAGGGCAGCTGGTTTTGTAAGAAATGAAGTTGCAAACACATCCTAATTTAGCAAATATCAAAGCTGTCGCATTATACAGGTGGAAAAAAACTACAATTTATTAAAAAAAATTTACATCAAACAGCAAAAGACCTATAGAATTTTAGTGCCCTTACCTACATCATAGAAAAGTTGTGGAAAGGCACAGGATAGAATGTTCCCATGCCAACCTGGAAACATCTTAAAACCATTGCATCCTAAATTTTGCTGTAAAATGTCATTTAAAAAGTTTAGCAATACACCACAGCAGAAGATTTGGTATTTAAATATTAAGAAACCTGGTAAAAAGGTACACTTAGAGTTTCACACTATGGAATATTAACTGAACAATTCCAGCAGCAAACTTAGAAGAGCAGCACATTGGTACTTAGCGGGTCTCTTACTGCTTGTAGCACTTTAATTGGTAATTGGTACTTATAGCCTACATATACGTATATGTGGTTTTTTTTATTTTTTGTTTTTATCTATGTTTTAAAAATTATATTTCTTGAAGGCACAAGTGTGAACCTTCAAGTCTTCAGGAACATTGGGAGATATTTAAGAGGCACAGATACCCTAGGCAAAAGTCAGTAGTCTCTATTATGTACACTTTGTGTTATAATTTTTATTCTTTTTTTTTTTTTTGCTTTAAAGGAGTGTTAACAAAAGACACTCGTTAGGCTCATCTTGCAATTAATATCCAGGAAATACTATAACAGACAGTAAAAAGCAATACTTACTCCAGAACTCATTTTCATGTTTAGAAAATTCCCTAGAAACAGATTAATATTCCCCTTTTTCAACTGTTGGTAAGAGAGTCTTTGTTTATTAGAATATGTGAAATATGACAGATCACTTAAAAGAGTTAATATAAACTGTAGACCCACCTCAAGTCCAACAGTTGCCACCCAACTGAGTTTTAAGGCTAATAACCCTGTTTTAGGTCATGAAATTTGTATTTCATGATGAGTACTGAGGAAGATGACTGTATATTTAAAGACGCAATTGTATTCCCCAAGCAAAGCAAAAAGTGATTTCAGCATTTAAGTAGAACTTTAAGCTAGAAGACATTTCAGCAGTTTGTCAAGGCTCTTCTTTAATTTCGGAAATTCTGTCTATGGATTTAAGGATTTCAGCAACAAGATTCAATGTTTCAGCTCCAGAAAGCAACTGCCTAGAATGAAAACATACAAAGATGTAAGATGTACAGTTTTCTCTCCTTATTTGATTGTAAGCTCCGTGAGGGCAAATCTCATTCATCTTTACTTCTTCCACCCTGGCAGAGCCCTGTACATAGTAGGCATGCTATAAATATTTGCAAACTAATCTATGTATGTCATCTATAGTGCCTGACTGTAATAAGAAAGACATTAAAAGCAAGGCAGAAAATTCTAGAATCCAAGAAATAATCAAATAAAATAGAAAAAATTTAGATTAGCTCATATGTTTTTTAAAAAACCAACAAGATGGATTAATGGGCTTACTCAAAAGATAACAATTATACTATTCCTATTTTCCTATGATTAAAAAAAATCACCAATTCTATTTCATCCGTCTACTGAGTACATCAGAGGTGACACAGGAAGAGCACTATCTTTCTTATTCCCATTAAGCTTGCTCATCATACCAGCTGTCCTAGGAAGATTTTTTTAAAAAACTGAACATCCCCACCATTGCAGCAATGTTCCATATAGCATATAGAAAACTTACTTTATCGAACTATGTGCATTGCTCATGACCGCTCGGAGATTTTGCAAGGCAACATCTGTGTTTTGTTTAACTACTGTCAAATTGGCACACTGACCAGATCGAAGGGCTTCATTGTCTCTCTTATAATTAGTAAGCTGAGCCTTTAGAAGAAAGATGATAGGGTTAATTAAGATTAGTTAGGGCAATTAAGACATTATACAAAGTAAAATGCTGGGCAAAACAGCATGCCTTTGGTATCTTTCTCATTAGAAACCTCAAAATAGAGCAGTACAGACTTTGTCATTCAGAGTAGTTATGAAATTTTGCTAGCTGATGGCCTATGAACTTGTTACCTCCTTGTTCCATTGTCATAACTAGCTTTGCTCCTGTGAGATATGTGGGAACAGCTTATGTTTTTTTCTTGGCTAAAGTCATTAGGCTCAATATCTGCCACTCTCCAGTCAAATCTATACATTAAAAATATTTTCCACACGTATATGTAGCTAATATCAGAAGCTAAAATTATGTCCCCAATTCTTGCATTCTCACTTTGAGTGATCTTT